GAATCCAGAGCCTCCACAGGGTTCAGCAGCTGAAACCACAGAGTCCATGGAGGAAATAAAGGAACCTGCTGAGCAGAAGGAGGAAGCAGAGCAGGTTCTGCCTGAGAGTGTTCCTGAAGAGCCCAGGGAGAGCTGCCTGGACTCAGGGGACCAAGGGGAGGAACCAGCAGCTGCAGAAAAGGAGGAAATAAATGAAAATGGACAAGTGGAGGAGGTGCCTGAGGAGCTGAATGTGGACAGCAAACCTGAGGAAGAAGAGGTGAAGGAGCTAGAAGGAAATCAGGAGGATAAAGGAGAAGCTGAGAACTCTGCTGGAGAAACTTGTGCTGTTCCAGATCAAGAGATGAAGGAGGAAGTGGTGGAAACTGAGATCAAAGTGCCTGAAGACGTGGCCTTGGCAGATCAGAGTGTGGACTCCCCTCTGAAGGTGGAGGGGGATCCCTCAGTGCAGGTGGCTGAGAGCCCCACCAGCCTCCAGGCCCGCTGCACGTGGTCTCCCTCAGCCTCCCCATCCACCAGCATCCTCAAGAGAGGCGTCAAGAGGAGCCAGGAGGATGATTCCCTGTCACCTGCCAATAAGGTATTCCCTGGCAATTGTGTGCTACTCGCTGCAAAGCTGGGATGAGGAACTGAAATCATCCCAAATCTGTTGAATTACTGGTTTCTGTTGTGAATGGTCTTACAGAAGTGGTGAGGTTTGGGTTTGGAATGTGCCAGCACTGACAGATTTGCACTGTGAGGGGTTTTATTGTGAAACAGAGCACCCTGGCTCACTGCAAAACCAGGAGCAGCATGCTCGGGGTTGTACACAGAGATTCCTCAGGGAATCCTCACAGTCTGTCCTTGGCTGAAACGTTCCCTGGGTCGTTCAAGAACTTCAGTGATTCCAAACTGGTGTTTTTTTGTCTCCTCAGTGACTTCACCAAGCTGTGCTGGGTTGAGCTCCCCCTCTAAAGCCTCCTTCTCTCCTCAGATCCGTCGAGTCTCCTTTGCAAACCCCATCTTTCAGGAGGGCCTGGCGGACGACATCGACAGGAGGAGCCCTGTGGTCAGATCCCATTCCTCACCCTCCTCCAGAAGCCTTAAAATCCTCTCCAACATGCAGGTCAGGGTAAATCCTGGTACAGTACTCCGTGTGTCCCGAGTATTTGTGTGTTTATCATAAATAGCATGGCTCAGTGCATGTTTGTGGTCACTTACACACAGTTGTAAGGGCTGAGGATCAGAAGTGTAAGAAACAAAGCTGCCTTAGCCTGTCTCATTCTGTTACTGTGAACTCTGAGGTTTCAGGGGCTAGAATCTCACTATTAACTGAGTTCCTACTGTTAACTGAATTCCTACCATTGACTCAATTCCTACCACCCTGAGATATTTTTTTCCTCTTTTTCTATCCAGCACATTACCACTCCAACCAAAGGATTTCTGTCCCCAGGATCTCGTACCCTTAAATTTAAGAGCTCAAAGAAGTGTTTAGTAAGAAGTGCTTTGGTTCATGTTTCTCTATTTTTTTCCCTCTATTCAGAGTGTGACAGTTAATTTAATACTCTGCCTGTGTTGTCCCAGATCACAGAGATGGCCAAGGAGTCTCTGCCCTGCCTCTCGGAGCTCGTGTACCCTGCCCTGGCTGGCTGCAAAGCCCCCGTGGATGTCATTTTACCCCAGATCACATCCAACATCTGGTCAGTGGCTGCTTGCTTGTGGAGCTGACATTTCAGTAGAAACTCAGCTCTGAGGAAACTACCAAAGAATTTTAGCCAGAATTCTTTAAAGGGATTGGGGTTGGTTGGGTGGGGAAGAGACTTGACAATTTTGGCATTTTTTAAGTACTTTTTTGATGTCTAAAAAGCTTCCCAGGGATGGGCAGTTTGTGCAGGGTCAGGAGTAGGATTGGTGATCCTGTGGGCCCTTCCAGCTCGGGGTATTCCCTTTCTGTGTACCAATAACCCATTTTCCCTCCCCTGCTGCAGTGCCAGGGGCCTGGGGCAGCTCATCCGAGCCAAGAACATCAAGACCGTGGGAGACCTGAGCACTCTGACAGCTCTGGAGATCAAAACTCTGCCCATCCGCTCCCCCAAGGTCTCCAATGTCAAAAGGGCTCTGAAGGGATACCATGAGCAGCAGGTAAAGTTGAATTTTAGCACCCAGGAAGCCAGGATTGATCTCATTGACTGCAGCAGGAATGATGTATTATTTTAAAAACAGCACTTGAAAACCCAATCCCTGCCTGCCTCAGTACCATGAATTCAGGATACAGATGACTTGGTTAAACTATTGTTATTAACAGTAAAAGTGATTGGATTTGTTGTGAGGCTAAAATGTATCTCACCACATAATTTATTGATTTTGCTTTTCAATCTGAAAACGTTTTCTCTCCCCAAAATTGCCCAGGTGAAATCTCGAGTGTTGGAGGAAAGCCCAGTGCTTGAGGATGCAGAGAAGCCTGGAAATGAGGTGGAGGAGAAATCTCTGAGTGGAGATGAGGAAAAACTTGCAGCAGGTACCTGCTGGTGGCTTTTTGCTTTGGATTTGGAGGGTTCTGCTGTCCTGTCTCCATTCTCTGCTGGTGGGAACACCTCATCCTTTTGTTTTTATTCTGGGTTTAGTTTTATTCTTCCAATCGTGCTCAAACCCTGCAAGTGCAGGGTGCAGTGCCTGTGCTGGGAACATTTCCCACAGAATAAATCCACTGCAGGCTGCTCAGAGATGTGATTTTGCACGAAACCAGCTGGAATTCAGCTCGGATTCCCTGCACTTGTCTCCTTTCCCTCCTTGCAGATCTGGCGGACGCGGGCAGCAGCGAGCAGCCCCCCCTGGACCTGCCGGGGCAGATCCAGGCCCTGGCAGCCCAGCTGGCCTCCGAGGACCTGCAGGGCTTCTCGGGCAGGCAGCTCTTGGAGATGCAGGAGAAGCTGCTGGGGATGGCCTCGAGCATCAGCAGGAGCCTGCAGGGACGCTGGCCCTGCCCTCCTGCCCAGGGCCCCGAGTAGGGCAGCGCTCCCCAGGAGGGGCTGGGCCAGCATCCCCTGGTCCCTGACTGCTGTTACTCCTCAGTCTGCATTTTGGGTTATAGGATATTGTTTAATATCTTCATAAGGTTTTTTCCCTTGTTTTCCTTTTCTTTTCCTTTTTTTTCCTTTTTTTTTCCTTTTTTTTCCTTTTTTTTTCCTTTTTTTTTCCTTTTTTTTCCTTTTTTTCCTTTTTTTCCTTTATTTTCCTTTATTTTCCTTTTTTTTCCTTTTTTTCCTTTTTTTTCCTTTTTTTTCCTTTTTTTTCCTTTTTTTTCCTTTTTTTCCTTTTTTTCCTTGTTTTGTTTTTCCTTGTTTTGTTTTTCCTTGTTTTGTTTTTCCTTGTTTTGTTTTTCCTTTACTTTTCCCTTCCCCTTTTCCCTTTTTTCCCTTTTTTTTCTTTTCCCAGTTTTCCCTTTTTTCCCTTTTCCTTTTTTTTTCTGTTTTTTTTCTTTTCCTTTTTTCCTCCTCTTCATTTTTTTCTTTTTTTTTTCCTTCTTTTCACTTTGCCTTTTTTCTTGCCTTTCCCCCCCCTTTTTTTTTTTTTTTTTCTATTTTCTCCTTTTTTTTTTCTCTCCTTTATTTTTCGCTGGTTCCCCCCACTCCCAGATCTGTGGGACTGTTTCCTCCCTGGCAGAGGTGTTCCTATGGGATTGCTATGCATCTTTCTTTCGGGCCGTGAAAGAAAAACCTGACCAAGCTGTGCAATAGCAGAGACTGTGAAAAACCAAACCAACAGAGTAATTAAATTATTTTTTCAACCCCAAAGTGTTCTTAGTGCTGCAAACTCCTGCTGAGAGCTGCCAGCTGTGCCCCTCCTGCCCCAGCTCTGGCAGCACGTGGGAGGTCAGCTGCCTTCATCCCTTCCAGCAGGAGCCTGGGATTTGTACTGGATCTATTTTTCCATGTATTTTTGTACGACTCAAGCTCAGAGGAAATGTTCTTGTCCGGGAGAGAGACTCTGCAGAGCCCCCCAGGCTTTGCCCCATGGCCTTTGCTGGCAGCAGTTCTCCTTGTGGGAAGACTTTTTTTTCCGTGAGGAAATGATGGATTGGACAAGAGCTCTTTGTATATTGTGTACAGACTCACAGCAGATGTTGGGTAATAATTTATGGAGTTTTAATTGCATGGACTGCATTGCTGCTTCTTGGAGACCTTCAGCCAGAATTCCCGGGTTTTCCCTCTGGAATTCTGATCTGTATATATTGTACTGTAGCTATCCAGATGGGTGTTTATTGAAAGGAACTGCTGCAGGTGCTTTTCCAACTTTTACATGGGCAAATAAAGAGCTGATAGTTCCCAGACTTGGTCGTGGCCTCGTGGTTTGGTGGCTTTGGGCTTTTTCTCTCTTCATCTTCCCCCAGATTTGGATTCCCAAGGCTGGGAGGGACTTTGGAATGTCACCAGTGCTGGTGTAAGGCAGGAGCAGGTCCTCGAGGACAGGGTGGCATCTGCTCTGCAAAACTCTGAGTATTTTTTGCCCTGTGTGTGTCTCATGGAGAAAAGGGACAGGACAAACAGCCTGGAGCTACACAGGGAAGCTCTGTGGCTTTTCTTGCTTTTCTGAGCAGTGGTTTTGGCTCCAGATCTGCCTCCTTAGGAGAGTTCAGCTTTCCATCCCATGCCTTGGGGCAGGGAAGGATGTTCCTGACCCATGGAAAGGGTTTTGATCCCAGCTCCCAGTGCTGCCAGTCCTGGACCCTGCCTTGGGGAAGGACATTTCCCTCCCATGCTGCCTCTGCTGGGAATTCCCTCTGCACTCTGAATTCCTCAGGGCTGATGCTACAACCCCTACTATTAAATTGGATTTAGTCTGTGGGAGACACAAGAGCCAGGGATTTTTATTCCCTGCTTCCCTGTGGAGTGGCTGCTCCAGGTGCTGCAGTGGATGAAGCAAACACTGATGTTCAAGTGTGGAGTAACCCCAGCTCTGGGTCCTCCCTCAGTACAGTTTGTGGGGTGAATTCCCTTCTCCAGCACCACAGCATCCAGCCATACTGCAGAAACCTCAGCTTTATTCATCACTAATTTACAAGAAATCACAGCTTTTGCCCCCAGAACAGTTGCAGGAGAACACATTCATGAGAGCTCAGCAAGCAGGAGAGGGGTGGTTGCTTTTCCCTCCCCAAATAAACTGGGTTGAAATACAAAGCTTAAATGGAAAAGGAAATTAAGGGATTGAAACGTTTTAGAACAGCCCAGAAAAATTCTCTTTGTGGGAGGATGAATCCTATAATGTGTGTGTTAGCCTTTGGCAATGGAATTTTGGAGATGTTGTGTAGTGTCTGTGTGATGAAATGTTTGACATTCCAGACAACAATTGGGAGTGTTTGGCATTGGGAGAAAGGCGGGATCTGCTTAGAGGTACCTTTGCAAATGTGTGAAATATTCCAGGTGTGTTTTGCTCTGCAGTTATGTCTGTGGGGGCTGAGGGGGCCAGGATGGCCTGGGGCAGGTGTCCCACCCCCGGGGCAGGTGTCCCATCCCCGGGGCAGGTGTCCCACCCCCGGAGAGCTGTCCCACCCCCGGGGAGCTGTCCCAGCCCCCGGGAGCTGTCCCAGCTCACACGGCCTCCACGTAGTTGGCGGGCAGCATGCCGGTCTTGCCGGTTCTCTGCACGGTGCCGTACATCCAGCCCTCGTCGATGGCCTGCACGTTGACAATGGTGTCCCCGTCCTTGAAGGACACCTCATCCGCGTCCGCCGCCGTGTAGTCGTACATGGCCCGGAACGTCTTCTGCAGGGACACAAGGGACAGGGTCACAGCCTTACAGGGGACAGAGGGGACATGGTGACACCCTGACATGGCCTAGAATGGCTTCTGCAGGGACACAAGGGACAGGGTCGCACCCTGGCGTGGCCTGGAATGTCTTCTGCAGGGACACAAGGGACATGGTCAGAGCCTTACTGGGGACACAAGGGACATGGTGACATCCTGACATGGCTTGGAACTTCTGCAGGGCCATGGGACAAAAAGGGACATGGTGACACCCTGACATGGCCTAGAATGGCTTCTGCAGGGACACAAGGGACAGGGTCGCACCCTGACATGGCTCAGAACCTCTTCTGAAGGGACACAAGGGACAGAAGGGACACGGTCAAACCCTGACATGGCTTGTAATCTCTTCTGCAGGGACACATGGGACAAAAAGGGACATGGTGACACCCTGACATGGGACAGAAGGGATGTAGTCACACCCTGACATGGCCTGGAACATTTGCAGGGACACAGGACAGAAGGGATGTGGGCAAAGCCTTACAGGGGACAGAAGGGACACGGTCACACCCTGACATGGCCCCAGCCCTCTCCAGAAGGGACAGAAAGGACATGGTCAGAGCCTTACAGGGGACGGTAAGTCTTCAGGAACACAAAGGGACAGAAGGGACACAGTCACACCTTGACATGGGACAAAAGGGACCAAACCCTGGCATAGCCCTGAATGTCTTCTGCAGGGACAGAAGGGACATGGTCAGAGCCTTACAGGGGATACAATGTCTTCAGGGACAAAAAGGGACATGGACAAACCACAGCAGCCATAGAGGGGACAAAAGGGACATGATCAAACCCTGGCGTAGCCCTGAATGTCCTGCAGGGACACCAAGGGACATGGTCAAAGCCCAGGGGCTGGGATTGGTGTCACGGCAGGGTCTGGCTGCTCCTTCAAATCTGGCTGTGGATTCTTCTCCCTCCCTGAGCCCCTTGGGTGCCCGAGTGCCACAGCCCCAGGCTGTGCTGGTGACACTGAGCCTGAGCAAGGCCAAGTGTCACTCTGAAGTTGTTGCCTCCCAGCAGTTTTTGGAGGCACATTCCCACTGCCCTTTACTCCAGAGGCAATCTCCAAATGAGCACTTCCTCCCACTCCTCAGTTTTCAAGGGCTGAGTAGGAAGAAGAGCTCATTCCAGGGTTCCAGCTGCTAATTCCAGGTTTCCAAATGCTCATTCCAGTTTTCCAGCTGGAAATTTCCACTCATTCCAGTGCTAATTCCAAGTTTCAGGAGCTAATTCCAAGTTTCCAGGCACAGGGAAGGCTCTGTCCCACTTAAGTCCCTGTCACGCCTGGTTTCATACAGAGCTTCAGCCGCACAGATTGGAATGTCACAAACTCAGGCTTGGACTAACTCTATTAATTAGTGTTAGTTAATTATTAATGAGTGGCTGTGCCCCCTCCAGGTCCCCCAGGGTCACTCACCCCAGCAGTGGAGGGGTGGGAAGGCACCGAGGACACCGTGGTTTGCTGGGTGGCCACTGAGGACGAGCGTTGCTGTGGCAGCTCAATGGTCTTGACCTGCTTGTAGCCCACTGCAAGAGAGGGTGGGGTATTATGGGATGGACAAAGAGCATTGGGTGGGGATTATGGGATTGTGATGGAGCTGGTCTGGAGAACGATCATTGTGCGGGGAATATGGGATTGTGATGGAGCTGGTTGGGATAATGGTCATTGGGTGGGGATTATGGGATTGTGATGGAGCTGGTCTGGAGAAGGATCATTGTGTGGGGATTATGGGATTCTGATGGAGCTGGTTTGGCTAAAGATCATTGTGTGGGGTTATTATGGGATTGTGATGGAGCTGGTCTGGAGAAGGATCATTGTGTGGGGTTATGGGATTGTGATGGAGCTGGGTGGGATGAGGATCATTATGTGAGGTTATTATGGGATTGTGATGGAGCTGGTTGGGATAAAGGTCATTGTGTGGGGATTCTGGGATTGTGATTGAGCTGGTTTGGATAAAGATCAGGGACAGGCCACTGGGACAGGACAAAATCAGTTTGATAAAGGTCATTGTGTGGGGATTATGGGATTGTGATGGAGCTGGTTGGAATAAAGATCAGGGACAGGTCAAAATCAGTTAAAAATGCACATTTACAGCTGTGGCTTGTGCACAAGTCAACATTTTGGAGGTGGGTTTTTCCCTGGCGGTGGGATTGCTGCACACACTCCCACGGGCAGCCCGTCTGTCCCCGTGGGTGTGCTGTACCTGTGGCCGTGGTGGTGAAGAAGCCCCCGTTGCTGTAGTAGGACAGGCGCTGGTCGGTGCCCTCCGAGGGCTCGGATTTCTCGTCGGCCGCGCCGCTGATGCTCAGGGCGCTGGCGGAGCGCGAGTGCTCGCGGCTGCGGCGCTGCGCCTGGACTGGGGGCAGCAGGACTGTCACCCCCTGGGGCTCAGAGCCACCAGCCTGGGGTGCTCAGAGCCACCAACCCCAGGGCTCAGAGCCACCAACTCCAGGGCTCAGAGCCACCAACCCCAGGGCTCAGAGCCACCAACTCCAGGGCTCAGAGCCACCAACTCCAGGGCTCAGAGCTGCCAAATCCAGGGCTCAGAGCCACCATCCCTGGGTCTCAGAGCCACCAACCCCAGGGCTCAGAGCCACCACCCTGGGGCTCTCAGTCACCACTCCTGGGACTCTTGGAGCCACCACCCCTGGACTCTCAGAGTCACCACCCTGCGGTGCTCAGAGCCACCAATACCAGGGCTCAGAGCCACCACTCCTGGAGCTCTCAGAGCTACCAACTCTTGGGTTCAGAGCCACCAGCCCTGGGGCTCTCAGTCACCTCCCCTGAAGCTCTCAGAGCCACCAACTCTGAGGCTCAGAGCCACCAACTCCAGGGCTCAGAGTCACCAATCCCCAGGCTCTCAGAGTTACCAACCCTAGAGCTCAGACCTCATAGAACCCAGCCCTGCAAAGTTCAACTTTTCCACAATCCCAGTGCAGTTTTATAGTTCCATAGTGGGATTTCCCAGTGCTTTTTTGAATATTCCATGCTGAAATTCTGCTCTTCAATATTCACAGTGTTTTATCCTTTCTCCAGCCTCCTTCCCCTTAGTCCTCATTGCTTACAAAATTTTTATTCTAATTATCCTGTGATTTTCTTCCTGACACAGCACTGGGCCATCCCCATGATTTTCTACCATCCAGGTATTTTTCCTCTCGGACAGGAGCTAAAAAAAAGGTCACTGAGAGCAGCCTTTCAGTAATTCCAAAGGGAAGCACAGGTTGTATCATGGCAGCTGTGGATCATACAAACAATCCTCCTCCTGCCTCTGTTGGATCCTTTTATGATAGGAAGATTAATGATGTATTTTTTGACCATTAGTTATGCTGGTGAGGAGCAGCTACAGCCAAATTCTCCTCTGTCCCCTGGGTCCCTTGGGGTCTCTCAGCTCTGTTTGGCACCAGACCCCACCCCTGCAGGAGTTCAAATCCCATTTTTCCCGTGGGACACACCTGAGATCATGTGCAGGCTGCGGGACTGGATGTTGTCCTCGGCGGGGTCGTAGTCGAAGACGGAGCCGGGGTTGGTTCTCCACACCCGGAGCCCTGCAGGAAAAAGGAAATTCCTGAGGAGAGGCCGAGCAGCACAGCCTAGCAGGACAGCAGGACAGGAGTTGTGCCTTCCCCAGCCCTGGGGGTGGCCAAGACCAGGCTGGATGGGGCTTGGAGCACCCTGGGATAGTGGAAGGTGTCCTGCTCATGGCAGGGTGGGACTGGATGAGCTTTAATGTCCCTGCACCCCAAACCAGTCTGGAATTCTTTGAAAAATCACCCTTATTTTATAAATCAGTGCTTCTCAATTCTGTACAACAAGTTTGGCTTTTTTACAATCAATCAACAGCAAAGCATTTCTCTAATGGATAGAGATGGAGTTCAAAATAGAAGAACCATAAATGCAGTGTGACATTATCAAGGTGGGGACAGCAGGTCACAGGTCATTTACAGCTGTTGGGAAAGAATATTTCCAAAAAGGACTTGGACAAGAACATCTCCAGGTGATGATGAATTGGAATTGCTGTGGCTGAGCTTAAATTAAACCCCTCCTGCAGCAGATGTGCCCAGTCTCCTGACCTGTGAGGTTCTCCTGGTCCTGGTCCACGCGTTTCCGCTCCATCTCCACCACCCTCCTCTGGATGCCCCTGTAGCTGATGTCACTGAAGTCCTGCATGTTCTTCTTCACGCGCTCCGTGATGGGGTCGGTCACCACGGGCGTGAAGCTCCCTTTGCTCTTCTCAAAGTCCTCGTGGTACTTCACCTGCAATTCCAAAGGACTGTGATTCCTGCTCCAGGGGCATTTCCACCTCCTGAACTTTGGCTTTCCCAATCCTAATCCCAGACTTGCTTTAACATTAAAGCCTTGGGTACCCAAACCTGGTAGGACACGTCGTCCTTGCTGCCAGGCAGGGTTGTTTTTACACCGAACTCCCTTCCCAGGGGAAGGACACCTCTGGAAGTGCTCTTACAGTGGAGATGTGTTTCTGGGTCTCCCGCACGCGCCGCATCTCCGGCGTGTCCAGGACGTAGGCGGCTTTTCCTTGGACTTGCTTGCGGAAACTGTCAGAGTAAAGGACCTGCCAGGGGAGGAGGAGCACAGGAGTTACCCCTGGAGCACCAGGCTGCCAAAGAAGGCCAGTCCCAGATTTTTATACATTTTCTATAAGTGACTCTTACCGAAGAACAGTAATTTTATACGTCATAGAGTATTGCGGCAGTAATTTGAAATTTAACTGTTTAAAAACTCCCCAAGAGAACCCAGCTCATGGCAGAAATACTTGATTGCACCAGAAAGCTTTAAGGAGTTCCCTGTCCTTCCAAACCCCTCCTGAGTGAGGATTTCAGGGGTGAAGTGCTCCCTTCCTGCTGCACCCACCGAGCTGATGTTCTCCTGGTTGCGTTTGGCTCTCTCCATCTCCGGGGTCAGCGGGGTCGGGGTTCCCTTGGCCATGTGCTCCTTGTACAGCACCTGCAGGGCACAAACACAGCTCGGGCTGGAAGAATTCCAGCTTCAATTCCAGCTTTTCCTGGCACTGGGGTTAAGGTTCAAGCAAACTCAGCCCTGCAGAGTGGAAAAGATCTCGGGAAACAAAGCAGCTGAAACGTTATTGGCAAAAGGTAAAAAAATAATTAAAAGATCAAAGGGAAAATAGGCAAAAATCAGTAAAACTGGGAAAATAAGGCTGAATTAGGTGGAGTTTGGCTGAGGATGGTTATTTTTGACACAAGGTGCTTGGCTGTGCTTGCAGTACCGAGCTGATCTGTTCTTGGTTCCGCTTGACTCTCTCCATCTCCGGAGTGACCGGGCTGGGAGTGGCCTTCCCTAAACCTTCCCTGTATGCAACCTACAGACCACAGAGGAACTCAGTCACAGGGCAGAACTCACACCCGGCGTGTTACTGGCTTTACACTCAACACCAGCCGTTAGGAAAAAAAAATAAAAATAAATAAAGATTAAGGAAAAATTGTATTAACAAGTTAAATGACAAAAAAATCCTTTAAAATTAGGAAAGGGGGAAAAAAGTCAGCAAAAATCATATTAACAAGTTAAACGACAAAAAGATCCTTTAGAATGACAGCACTTAAGAGGTGACTTTTGAAAGAAAAAATTAGAGGGTTAAATAAAACCAGGCAGAGGTTACTCAGAAGAGCTCTTTGCCCTCCTCTGGTGTTAAGCAGTGCACGGGGAGCTCTGGGAAGCTTTTCCTGCGGGAATACCGAGCTAATCTGCTCCTGGTTGCGTTTGACTCGCTCCATCTCGGGGGTGACGGGCGTGGGGGTCGCCTGCCCCACGTTCTCTTTGTACAACACCTGCGGGACAGACAGCGAGCCGGGCTCTCAGACAGCCCGAAAAAACCGGGCTTTAACACAAATCATTACTTTGTTACGGATTTCAAAACCTCAAACGTTTAGCGCTGCCCGGAGGGGTGAGGAACAGGGAGGGAGAACTGGGATTATTTGGGGTTAAGGGCTCTATCCAGGTGGCTCCAGAGGCTCAGGAAGTGCCTCTGGCTCTAAAAAGCTGAGTAAGAAATGCTTTATCTGCTTTTTTAAAAATCTATATTTGAAGTAATTCCTGATCTTTTGGGAGGGAGGTGGAAGTTTTGTTGCCACACTGCCCTAATAATGATGTCAGGGATGGGTGTTTTTCCCTGAAGTCAAATCCACCTGAAAATCCAATGAAAGGTGAAACAATGAACACAGAGAGAAGCCTGAATATCCCTGGAAAACCTGGGCTAGCAAGGGAATGAAATGAGCCCTTCCAACCCAAACATTCCCTGATCTCCACCAAGGGATCTGAACTCCTGAGATGGTCTGGATAGAACCCACGAATTCACAAACCAAGTTGTGAAAAAGGCCTGAAATTCTGGATCACACCGTTAACACTGAAGTCATTTGGGTTTAGAAGGAGCAATTAATGTGCAGAAAAAAAGAAATGCATCTGTTTTTAAATGAAAACCAGCTCTGAGTGGGAGTTAGGCTGTTACTTGATTAAGTCGAAGCAGAAAGGAAACCAGAAATGTCTGGGAAGGTACCGAGCTAATGATCTCTTGATTGCGTTTGACTCTCTCCATCTCAGGGGTGATGGGGGTCGGGGTCACCTTCCCCACATTTTCCTTGTACAAAACCTACAGGATGCAAGGGAGTACCCAAATGTCACTGAAAAGGGAAAGAAAAACAAGGAAAAAAACCCCAAAAAGCAGAACAAAGAGCTTTGGAGCCGTCCCACCGAGTTGGGGCTGGGGCACGGGAGGAGGAGCTGGAGCTTTGCCGTTAATTAATTTGGGATGCGGGAATCCCTGGCTGGAATCACCGGCGGCAAAGCACAGGGGGAGTAAGAAAGGTTAAAAAAATTCAATCAGGACAACACCATCCATCCCAAAAAAAGGGATTATTTTTTTTTCCTAGTAAAACCCTGGCTGGGGCAGCGTTAAGGAGAAGCCGGTGCGGTTTGTGGAGGCATTTCAGGGGTTAATAAGCACAGGCTGCTGGGGCTGCAGCCGGGCTAAACACTCCACTCGGGTTTTTTAGGGCCTTTTCCAGTGCAAGTACCGAGCTGATGATCTCCTGGTTGCGCTTGACTCGCTCCATCTCGGGGGTGACGGGCGTGGGGGTGGCTTTGCCTATGTTCTCCTTGTACAGCACCTGCGGGACAGAGGACACTCGGTGACACTCCCCACGCCTCCCTCCCCCTCGCATTTAGGAGGGTTTAAAGCAGCTCCTGGCACTGTTTTAGTAGAGGGGGGATAAATGGGGTGAGTACTGCACCGAGGGGCACAAAACCCCCCCGGAGGGGCTGAGCACGGCAGAAAACCCAGAAAACCCAATTAAAGAAACGGCAGCACTGCAGAGAAAAGGAGAGGAGTTTGAGAGGGTTTAGGATTAGAACACGACATTAAAATCACTCTTAAAACCAAGATAACTGACCGGAGTTAACATTTCAACCGGAGAAAGCCACGAGTGAGGAGCGAGCCCTGCGTTATTTTGGGACAAATCCTTCTCCAAACGGTTAAAAAGGGCTTGGAAAGAGTTAAAAGGTTTCAGCTCCGGGTTTAAAGAGTTAAAGGGAAGTTTTGCTCTTGGCAAAGTACCGAGCTGCAAATCTCCTGGTTGCGTTTGACCCTCTCCATCTCGGGGGTGACAGGAGTGGGGGTCCCTGTCCCCACGCTCTCTTTGTACAACACCTGCACAACAAGAAACCATCCAAAGCCATCAGCACTCAGTAAACCCAAACTTCCCTGCGGAACCGGAGCTTTCAAACCCCCACTGCAGCCGCCTGAGGAGTCACACCCTCCCTCCCCTGCCAGGGTCAAAACAATGCACGAAGAATTTTAGATATAAAAAAAACCACACATGGAAAGGAAGATGGAACAGGGAACAAAACGGTTAAAAACGTTAAGGATAATGTAAATATCTGTAAACAATTCCAAACAACGCAAATGTTTGTGAATAATTCCATCAGTGAAGAAGTGGAGGGTCAGTAACAGTGAGGAAGAGAGGATTGACTGTGGGGATGTGTTTGTGAGGATGGGGTTGTGGGGATGTTTTTGTGGTGTTTGTGGGGTTGTGTTTGTGGGGATGTGTTTGTGGAGTTTCTGGGGATGTGTTTGTGGTGTTTATGTGGATATGTTTGTGGTGTTTGTGGGGATGTGTTTGTGAGGAAGTGAGGATGTGTTTGTGGTGTTTGTGGGGTTGTTTTATGGGGATATGTTTGTGGGGATGTGTTTGTGAGTGGATTAAGCAGCAGCAGGAGGAGAGGAGCTGTGTTTTAGGCAGGTTAGGGAGCTGCTGCAGGCACGGTACCGAGCTCAGGTGCTCCTGGTTGCGCCTGACCCGCTCCAGCTCGGGCGTGACCGGGATGGGGGTGCCCGTGCCCAGCTCCTCCCGGTACAGAACCTGCGGAGAACAGCGGCTCAGAAATCCGGGATGCCAGGCAGAAAACATGGAATCCTGCTCCGGACAGGAGCTGCTCACGCCTGGACGCAAAACCGGGCAGAAAAAGCTGTGAAAGCACCAAAAATCCCAAATAAAGCAGCTCTGGGTCCTTTCCCAGCCCAGCCCAGCCCGCCCAGGCACCGCTTAGTTCTCCAGGGTAAAATCAAGAAAATTCACTCCATGGAACAAAACTGAAGGGGGGATTAAATAAGGAAAACAGGGTGGGTTTTTAAGAGTTAAAAAAAGGGCAATCACACTCCAAAAGGTGAGATTCAATTACTAAAATGATGTAATTAAAAATCAAGGGAATAAGAACAATGTAAGTAATAATTATGAAGGAAAAAAGAATTCTGAGAGGGACCAGGATATTATTTTTGGGGTAAGTCAATTATAAGGAAACAAGAATATTGTTTTGTTGGTTATAAAGACTTTTAAAATCGATTAAGAGGGATTTTATTGGCTTTTGGAGTTCAAATCTACCGAGCTAATGTGTTCTTGATTGCGTTTGACCCTCTCAATCTCGGGGGTGACAGGGGTGGGGGTTCCTGTCCCCAGCTCCTCCTTGTACAACACCTGTGGGGCAACGGGCAAAAAACAGAATCAAAGCAGCACCAAAAACTCCCAGAGCATCAGAGGTTTTTTACCTCCTGAGGGGAAAAAACCCTTGGGATAAAAAAAACCTCATGTAAAACTCTGCAGTGACTGAGGCTGAAGGAGGGTGGGATATTGGGAAAAAGATATAATTATATATAAATAATATAATATAGTATATATTATAAATTATTCTGTATAATATATAAATATATGTTGATCAATTAATATACATTTTTATACTAGATAGATATATTTATATATTATGTATTACATACATATAATTTCCAGTGCTCTCCTGGTTTCAGTGGCACTTCCCTCACCTTTCCACAAATCCCAACACCCCCAGAACACTTCCAGTGCTTCCCTGCCACATTTCCTAAAGTAAAAGGCACCAAACCCAGAGGAAAAGGCTCAAACCCAAAGGAAAAGGCACCAAATCTAAAGGAAAAAGCTAAAATTCAAAGGAAAAGGCACCAAACACAAACAAAAGGCTCTAACCCAAAAGAAATGCTCAAAGGAAAAGGCACCAAAACCAAAGGAAAAGGCTCAAAGCCAAGGCAGGAGGATGCAGGCACCAATCCCAGCTGATTTCCCATCCCACCCCATCCCAGCAGGCTCAGGGATCACAGCCACGGATTTGGATCAGGCAAGGAACAGTTTGGATTTTATACATGGGAAAACCAGGGGAAATCAAAAATAATTTTTTGAAGTGATTAATGAAAGGAAAAGCAAATCATAAAAAATATGGCAGGAGAAAGATGGGAAGGAGGAGTCTGAACTCATTAGTGATGGGTCTAATTAAAATAAATCAGGGATTACAGAGGAAAAAATGGCAGAACACAAGGAATGGGATGTGCTTGTGTCAATCAATTATTTTGTTGGTTAAGATTATTTTAAAATCTATTAGGAGGGATTTTTTTTTGGCTTTTGGAATTCAGAACTACCGAGCTAATGTGTTCTTGATTGCGTTTGACCCTCTCAATCTCAGGGGTGACAGGGGTGGGGGTTCCTGTCCCCAGCTCCTCCTTGTACAACACCTGTGGGGCAACGGGCAAAAAACAGAATCAAAGCAGCACCAAAAACTCCCAGAGCATCAGAGAGGGGCTTCTGACACCTCCTGGGGGTAAAAAACCTTTGGGGTAAAAAAACTCATCTAAAACTCTGCTATGACTGAGGCTGAAGAGGAATGGGTTGAAGAGGGATATTGGGGAAAAATGATATAGTTATACAAAAATAATATTCTATATTATATATTATAAATACTTATATATAATATATAAAATGCCTATTAATCAATTAATATACAATTTTATATTTTATATATTTATAAAATATCTTATGTATTACATACACACCAAACCCAAAGGAAAAAGCTAAAATCCAAAGGAAAAAAGGCTGAAACTGAAAGGAAAAGGCTCAAACCCAATAGAAAAGGCTCAAAGCCCAAGGTAAAGACACCAAACCAAAAGGAAAAAGCTCAAATCCAAAGGGAAAGGAACCAAACCCAAAGGAAAGGCTCAGACCCACAGTAAAGGCTCAAAGCCAAGGCAGGAGGATGCAGGCACCAATCCCAGCTGATTTCCCATCCCACCCCATCACAGCAGGCTCAGGAAGGATCACAGCCATGGATCTGGGTCAGGCAAGGAACATTTTGGATTTTATAGGTGGGAAAACCAATGGAAATCAAAATTAATCATGGATTGAAGTGATTAATAGAGTGCTTCCCTACCACATTTCCTAAAGGAAAAGACACCAAACCCAAAGGAAAAGGCACCAAACCCAAAGGAAAACGCACCAAACCCAAAGGAAATGGCTCAAAATCAAATAAAAGGCACCAAACCCTAAGGAAAAGGCAACAAATCCAAAGGCACCAAATCCAAAGGAAATGGCTCAAACCAAAAGGAAAAGGCTCAAACCCAAGGAAAAGGCACCAAACCCAAAGGAAAAGGCTCAAACCTAAAGGAAAAGGTCCAAACCCAAAGGAGAAGGCTCAAACCCAAAAGAAAAGGCTCAAAGCCAAAGGAAAAGGCACCAAACCCAAAGGAAAAGGCTCAAAGCCAAGGCAGGAGGATGCAGGCACCAATCCCAGCTGATTTCCCATCCCACCCCATCACAGCAGGCTCAGGAGGGATCACAGCCACGGATTTGGATCAGGTAGGGAATAGCTTGGATTTTATACATGGCAAAACCAGGGGAAATCAAAAATAATACAGGATTTAAGTGATTAATGAAAGGAAAAGCAAATCATAAAAAATATGGCAGGAGAAAGATGGGAAGGAGGAGTCTGAACTCATTAGTGATGGGTCTAATTAAAATAAATCGGGGATTACAGAGGAAAAAATGGCAGAACACAAGGAATGGGATGTGCTTGTGTCAATCAATTATTTTGGGGTTAAGATTATTTTTAAATCGATTAAATGGATTTTTTTTGTCTTTTGGAATTGAGAACTACCGAGCTAATGTGTTCTTGATTGCGTTTGACCCTCTCAATCTCGGGGGTGACAGGGGTGGGGGTTCCTGTCCCCAGCTCCTCCTTGTACAACACCTGTGGGGTAACAGGGCAGTCAAAAAGAGATAAAAAAAAAATCTGCATTTTATGGAGGGAATTAATGGAATTTTGTGCCCACTAAATGTACTAGAAAGCAGGAAAAGTTAGGGAGCATAAATCAGTTATTAATTTATAATCAGTTATTATAAATTCAGCCAGGAATACAAATCCAACTGCCTGGATAGGCTCCAGCAGAAGAACAAAGTATTATAGGAAGGGAATTCAGAAAATTATTTTAAGAAATAGGTTTAAAAATGCAAAATAGTTTAAACTTCAGGAAAAGAAGTAATGCACATGAAACATCCGCTGTTAAATTATAGGAAAAATATTTTTAAAAACAAGTACATAAAATACGTTGCTAAAAATGAGCAAAAGGGAGATTTTTTAATGAGTTAATTTGAGGGGATTTAAAGTTTGCAGGTGTTAAACAGCTACAGAAAACTGAGTTTTTTCCTATAATGATAAAAAGATACCGAGCTAAAATTCTCCTGGTTGCGTTTGACCCTCTCCATCTCAGGAGTGACAGGGACTGGGGTGCCAACCCCCAGCCCCTCCTTGTACAACACCTGTGGGCAGCAGGAGTGTGGAAATTAAAATAAAATAAAGTAAAAAAACAAATTTAAAAAAATAAAATGGAAGGAAAGGGGAGGACATGGAGGTCAGGGAGGAAAGAGAGAGAAGAGAAATTATTTAATATTGGGAAACTGCAAAGTATGGGGGAAAAAATAGTCTTGCTTTGGTCAAAGCTCAGCACAAAACCCTCAAGGAACAGGACAAGGTGATGATGCTATCACCTCAGCCAGGGCCAGAGCTGCTGGAATGTTCCAAGGCACCTGGAAATTCCCTGGCAAAGGCTTTTCCCCACTCCAGCTCCAGATGTTCTGCCAGGATTGCAGCCAGGCTGAGGTGCCTGTGCCTGTCCCAGGGATCTCTGCCAGGACTGAATTCCAGGGGAGGTTTGGGCAGAGTGACCCCAAAAGGTCACAAATTCAACCAGGACTGCAGAACAAAGTGGTGGCACGGTGTTCTTCCAAGTGGATGTGTCAGGAGGGGGAATTCCAGACAGGAATTCACTCCTGCAGCACCTTCCCATCTCCACTGGATGTTCCTGGTGCTCCTTCACTGCCATGAGCTGGGAATGTCACCTGGGCTCCTGGGGACACGGCAGAGCCCCAGCAGGACAGGGACAGGGACAGGGACAGGGACAGGGACAGGGACAAAGACAAGGCTCTCCCTGCTTCCAACCCAAACCATTCCCTGTCCCGTGACTCAGGAAGGGCTGGGAGTCCATTTCCCTTTGGCAGGAGGTGCTGGAAGGGTGGGCTCTGCTCCTGAGCACCATTCCCACAAGGAATATTTCCTTGGGAAGCAAAGGAAGGCCCTGCTCCAGGGCTTTAATTCCTGAGGTTAAAATCTTCCATCTGCAACAGCGGCACGAGTTAAATCCAGGGGAAAATGCAAACTTCAGGATCCTGCCAGGGCTTCAGGGGTTTGATAAGGAAGGGTTGCTCCCAACACACCCAAGGATGTGACGTGGAGGGGTTACAGGGACTGGGGTTGGGGTTGGAGGTCCCTCAGTACCGAGCTGATGTGCTCCTGGTTCCGTCGGACCCGCTCCATCTCCGGCGTCACCGGCGTGGCAGTGCCAGCCCCTAAACCCTCCTTGTACAACACCTGTGAGGGACAACAGCAGCGCCACAAAACCCCCTCAGCACAGGCCAGACCCACCTGATCCCACCGTTATGGGATGGGGTTTAGAGTTAGGATCACCTGGGATTCACCGCACAAGGATTAAGGAAGAGGCTGGGGGGGATTATTCTGTGAATGGGGCACTGCAGAGAGGAGATAAAGGCTCAGGGTGAAACAAAGGTGGGGAGAAACACCACAACTCCACAGGGATGTTCTGCTGCCCAGCTTAGCCCAGGAAATGCCAGGATTATTTTCAGGCAGCTTTGTTCTTAGAAGAAAAGTGCGTGAAAGTGTAAATCCCCCCAAAAAGCACAAACAGTGGAAGATCAATGAGTTAAAACCCAGCCAGGACTACAGCCCTGAGGAAGAACAAGGTTAGGGTGTTAGGAGCACAGGATTATAACAACAGCCCGTTGTTATAAGTCCTGCAGGGTGGAAGTACCGAGCTGATCTGCTCCTGGTTGCGTTTGACGCGCTCCATCTCTGGGGTCACGGGCGTGGGGGTGCCTGTGCCCAGCTCCTCCTTGTACAACACCTGTGGGACACAAGCAGGGTCAGAGCACCCTGGGGACGTCCCTGACCTGCTCACTGCCTCTGCAAACTGGGGTTGTACACAAATGAAAACACAGCTCACGCCCCTCAGCGTCTTTATCAGCACCAGCTCAGAGTGATTTCTGTTCAAGTCTTCATTTAAAGGACACAAATTCAAATATTCTGCTGACCCCACCCTGAGAGGGATATTTTACTTTTCTTCTTGGTTTAGGAAATGTGACAGAATTACTTTTCAGGCAGTCAGTATTTCTTTATGGGATTAATAAACAGCTTGACCTTTTCTGGAATTGTTCACTGTACAAAGACTTCATTGTGGGCTTTTTCATTTTCACTTCTGTTTGTTTGCACCACTATTTTACTTTGGCTTAAATCTCTAGGAAACAAAAACAACTGAGTGCCACCACTCATGTTATGAGGTTTAATTTAACCTGTAGTTATTTGATTTTTAAAAATGGTATTTTTCATGAAAGGAGATGTTTGTGGAATAACCCCAACCACGTGGGAATACCTGACAAGAGTATTGTCACATTTTGACTCACAGCTCCTCTTGCAAGTAGGAAAATACTTGTACCAAAACAAAACTTGTACCAAAACAAACTAACAAAAAAATTCCACTGCTTGGTGTCATTGAAACAAATAAATCAATTACAGCAAGGGAAAACAAGTTGTGGTGAAGGTTAGAAAAAATGAGGAATTATTTGGAAAAACTCAGTTGTCCATAAGCGAGCTGTCACATAATTGTCATACAAAAAGGCTCCAACTGGGTTTTTCCCCTCAAATTCTGTCTTCCTGATCCTTTTTCCCCAGTCAAACTTCAACACACAACCTGGGTCATTTTTGTTCCAAGCTCTGTGCTCAGAAAAGGCCACAGAAGAAACACAGGCAGCGACTGATGGGGATAATTCCTGTAAAACTCAGGTATTTCAATTTCCTGCTGCTGGCCACGGGGATTTGGGAGAGCTGGAGCTTCCCCAAGGGGTAAAGGCCCTGGAGAGGGCAGGGAGCAGGGAACTCCTGGGCTGATGTGCTGGGAACAGGGACATTCCAGGAACAGGGACAGGGACATTCCAGGGAACAGGGACATTCCCAAGCCGATGTACAGGGACAGGGACATCCCGAGGTGATGTGCTGGGAACAGGGACATTCCAGGAACAGGGACATTCCAGGGAACAGGGACAGGGACATTAATTACCGAGCTGATGTGCTTCTGGGTCTCCTTGACGCGCTTCACCTCGGGCAGGTCGGGAATGGGAGTTCCTTTGCCAATGCTCTCCTTGTACTTCACCTGCAAGGAATGGGAATTAGGGCAGGGAAAAGGATCTACAGGAAAGCTTTCAGAGGTTCACAAAGAGCTTTGTCCTGATCTGTGCAGAGGGGAAGTCTGAAGGGCTTCACCACCTTCCCAAGGGATCCATGGCAAGGCAATTCAGCTGTTGAGTCACTGGGAATGGCACTGAAAGGGTTTTATAAAACCAGAAAAATTCCTTTAAACCTGACACTATTTGGCCTTTCTACCAGCCAAAGGAGAATTTGGGATGTGTAAAAATCCCTCCTATTTAACAAAAGTGAGAATCATCACACAAGTTTCAGCAGTGACAGTGCCATTGGATTTCTGCTTTGCTAACAACAAAAAAAGCCTTTCACAAGAACATTTTTAACATTTTTAACACATTCTGCATGAACAAACTGGCTGCAGTGTTAGTGCATGACACTAAATGACACCACCATTCAAAAAAGGCATGGAGGAGGTTTAGGAGCTTTGAAATAAAATTAATAGGTAAAATAGAGGGCTGTGACCTTTTAGATAACATCCAAGTTTGCCAGGACAAAACAAACAAAAAAATTCTCCACCAGAAAATTCAGCCTGAGCAGAGTAAAACAGATTTTCCTGGGAGATGGTCCCACCCTGGAACAGGTTGTGGAATCTTCATCCTGTGGGATACTCAAAACTCAGCTAATCCTAAAGCTGAGGGTTGGAATAGATGATTTCAACACATCCCTTCCCACCTAAATACTTTTTTTCTGTCCAAACTATATCTGGGATGAGATCAAATTGACAGCAAGATCTTTTATGGTTTAGAAATAGGTTGTGAGTAAGAAATAGAATGTTAATCATTAGAGAGGTTACTGTTAAAGTAACAAGGATGGGCAAAACCTTCCAGAAAGTCACCCTTGACTGGGTGGGTTATTGCCAAACCACTGTTAGCAAGATGTAAAGAAAAGAAAAAAAGAAAAAAAATATTATTTCAAGTTGAATTAGCAGCAGTAGAGTGAGTATTAAAAACCAATCCTTGTGTACCGAGCTGATATTATCCTGGGTTCGTTTAACTCTCTGCATCTCTGGGGTCTTTTCAATTGTGGTTCCAGTTCCAATGTCTTCTTTATACAAAATCTTAACATTTAGAATGAAGACAACAAAGTTAAGCATCCAAAACACAACATTCTTGCTCCCAGACACTGAATTTGGACACAACAGAGCAGCTGAAAGCCCAGAGGATCCACTCAGGTCGCTGCCTCTCTGAAGGTGTCCAAAGTGAGCACCATGTGGGGAAAAAACAGAGCTGATCTTTTATATTTAATGCTTTTTATGTAGGAGATGATTTATACAAAATATCAAATATATTTCAGTAGAATATTCCTGGGCTAGTGGAAGGAGTCCCTGCCCATGGCAGGATGGAAGAAGTTGAGCTTTAGGTTCCTTCCACCCATTCCATAATCAAAACATTTGTAGGCTAATTTTAAGGAAAATATCAAATATATTTCAGTAGAATATTCCTGGGCTAGTGAAAAGAATCCCTGCCCATGGCAGGATGGAAGAAGATGAGCTTTAGGTTCCTTCCACCCATTCCATAATTCCATAATCAAAACATTTGTAGGTTAATTTTAAGATTGAAGATCATTATTTGCTCTAATTTGATTTATACAAATATTTTCCCCTTTGAACTTTGTTCATGGTGCTGGAGGCAAAATGCCACAGGAGACTTGATGGCAACAGGAACTGGGCAACAACTCAGGCACACAGAGCACGAGGGGCAGCAGGACAGGGAGGGACTGGCAGGGGAACAGCACAAAGGAAAGGGACAATGATTATATTCATTTAAGGAGGGACTGTTTGACTCTATCACAGCCGTGCCTGTGAAAGAGGGCAATCACCCCACAAAAACAGCAGGGAAAACACTTCATAAAGCCCAGCTAAACCTACTGTACCTGTAGGAGCAGCACCCAAAAATTGTAATGTTATAAAAGACATTAAAGTGTATTTTTTGGGCTGAGGAGTGAAGACAGAGGTGACCATACCGAGCTGAAATTCTTCTGGTTTTCCTTCACCCTCAGGATTTCTGGGGTGTCCTGAACCACTGTGACTTTTCCTTTACTGTTCTGTAGGTCTGACTGATACTGAAGCTGTGAAAATGGAAAATGGCAAGTGTTAACTCTATGCTGTAAAAAATCCCTCACAGTTTTCTTCAAAAAATGAGATAAATATGGGAGATTTTTTTAACTTATTTCTGGACTTACCATGCTAAAGTTCTTCTGATTCTCTCGGACCCTCTGCATTTCTGGTGTGTCAGCCACAGGCACGTAGTAGGGCATGCTCTTCTCTGCATCTTCCTTGTATTTTTTCTGATGGAAAATCCCAAATGGATTAAAATAGAAAACACAAAAGCAGCCAGAAACAAACTGGAGTTATTGATTGTTGAGTAGTGCCCGTCTTTGTGGAGATGTGAGTTCTTCTCTGTCTGACAGAAACTGAGATTATGCCTCTGTGCAAGATTTATTTTAGACAGCAGGTTATTGAGGAGTAGGAAATTAAGAAGAATCTGCTTAAAGAAGAATTAGCTTTGCAAAGCAAGAGAAATTATTGTGTCACTTGACACAGCAGTAAAATTAATTTGATTATTGCCGTAGAATTCCAGAGCTCTGGAAAGAATTATTCCCTGGTGCCTCCTGAATGTTGTGAGAAGGTTATTTGGGTGTTTCATTAGTATTTCCTGGAGTTCCCACATGAGCAGGATTAATTGCTGCACTCAAGATACCTGGCTGGAAAGGTTCTTGACCTGCTGGGCATGAATAATCTCTGGAGTATCAACAACACTGGTGTAGTTGGCTTTCTCCATTTCTGCCAATTGTTTGTATTTGATCTGTCGGGCAAAGCTCACGTTTAGGGGCCTCGGTCGTCGCTGCACAACAGCTCACACTGGGTTTACCCAGAAAAATCTGAATTTCCTTTCTAGGGAGCTCAGAGTCAGGGTGGCACAGACCTGGCTGGCGATGTCGGTGGCGTTCCTGGCGCGCACGAAGTCCGGCGTCTCCAGCGCCAGCTCGGTCAGGCCCTTCCCGCGGATCTCCTGCTCCAGGGCTCGCTTGTACTCCTTCTGCAGGGAGCCAGGGGTGGGCAGGGCAAGGGGGTCAGGGTCAGGAACAGGGCCAGTCCCAACCAGGAGCACAGCCCACCCCAAACAGGAATAGCACAATCCTAAACCAGGAACAGTGCCGATCCCAGACCAGGAACAGTGCCCATCCGAAAGAGGAATAGCACAAATCCCAAACCAGGAACAGAGCCCATCCCAAGCAGGAGCAGTGTCCATCCACAAGAGGAAAAGCACAAATCCCAAACCAGGAACAGAGCCCATCCAAAAGAGGAATAGCACAAATCCCAGACCAGGAACAGGGCCCATCCCAACCAGGAGCAGTGCCCATCCCAAACCAAGAACAGTGCCCATCCAAAAGAGGAATAGCACAAATCCCAAACCAGGAACAGAGCCCATCCCAAGCAGGAGCAGTGTCCATCCACAAGAGGAATAGCACAAATCCCAAACCAGGAACAGAGCCCATCCAAAAGAGGAATAGCACAAATCCCAGACCAGGAACAGGGCCCATCCCAACCAGGAGCAGTGCCCATCCTAACCAGGAACAGTGCCTATCCCAAACCAGGAATATTGCCAATCCCAAATAGGAATAATGCCAATCCCAAACCAAGAACAGAGCCCATCCCAACTATGAACAGAGCCAATCCCAAACCAGGAACACTGCCCATCCAGAAGAGGAATAGCACAAATCCCAAACCAGGAACAGAGCCCATCCCAACCGGGAACAGTGCCCATCCCAAGCAGGAACAGTGCCTATCCCAAATAGGAATAATGCCAATCCCAAACCAGGAACAGTGCCTATCCCACCCAGGAACAGTGCCTATCCCAAACCAGGATTACCACCAATCCCAATCAGCAATAGTTGGGATCCCATCCCAAACCAGGAACAGTGCCCATCCCAAACCAGGAAGAGCACCCATCCCAAACCAGGAACAGTGCCCATCCCAAACCAGGAATATCAACTCATAATGATGCACACAAATTATATCATTTCATATTATTTCAGTTTGTGCTTCATTACTTAAATCTTGGTTTAGTTCCTTGATTAATTAACTAATGAGTTCCTTGGGTGACTGTTGATCCCAGTTCCTGTTTCCCATCTGAATTCCTGGCTGTGACTGTGAACCCAGGAAAGAGCTCTCTTCAAAGTCCACTTTGATCCTTATTCCCTCATCCATGTTCTTCCCTGGCCTCTACTCAGGAGTTTCCAGGGAATGGTGAAGTTCACACCAGTCTAAGGGCAGGGATGGATGGGATATTGTGAAGGAATTCCTGGCTGGGAGGGTGGGGAGGGATGGGATGGATTCCCAGAGCAGCTGGGGCTGCCCCTGGATCCCTGGCAGGGTCCCAGGCCAGGCTGGACACTGGGGCTGGGAGCAGCCTGGCACAGTGGAAGGTGTCCCTCCCAGGGCAGTTGGACATTCCATGCACTCAGGCATTTTCCAAGCAGCTCTCCCATACCTCGTTCAGGATTTGAGTGGCATTCTTGGCTCTCAGCATGTCTGGAGTCTCCTCTAGGGCTGTCAGTCCTTTCCCTTTGACTCCTTCCTCCAGATCCTTCCTGTACTCTTTCTGCAGGAGAAGGAAAAACACTGCAGAGCCAGACCAAAGGGAGTTTTACACTCTACCAACTTTGTTGCAAAAAAAAAATTAAAGAAAATGAAAGCAAGAAAGAGTTCCAAAAGCTCCAAAAGAAAAAAAAAAAAGGAAATTTGAAAAACAAGAAAGAATATTGTAGAGGGTTATGGAAGAAGTACTCCAACAAAAGATAGGGATTATTGTGGAAAATCAATTGCCAAGGCACACACATATGGACCTGTTAGGCTGAGGGAAGTCAGAGAGGGGCAGCACATGGGAATACAGTTAAGGGACAAGGAAGAAATGTCCGTGGCAAATTAGCTGACAGCACAAAATGGATGTAAACATGCTCAGTGTGGGTGAGGAGAGTGGGGAAGAAGAAGTGGGAATGCTGGAGGTGCTGCAGGAGGCAGAGGAAGGGAGCCCAGAGGAGCTGGTACCTCGCTCGCTATTTTGGTGGCGTATTTGACATGCAAGAGGGATGGTGTGACCTCCAGGCCAGTGAGGTTCCTGCCCTTCATGGACTCTTCAAAGTCCTTCTTATATTCTTTCTAATGAGAGCAAGAAGAAGAAGAAGGAAAAAAAAAAAAGAAAAAAGAAAAAGAAAAAGCAAAACAGCAAATATTTATTACAATATTTTCATAATGTGCAAAGCTGGGAGGGTGTCAAAATCACTGGGTAAGTTGATGCTAAATCCTCTTCCCACTAAAATTTGTGAAGCAGCTCATTGTTTTCTATGGAAATAGGACCTGATCCTGCCTTTATTTTTTACTTTTCTACTAATTTATCTATGCAGAGAAAGCATTCAAAGGTACCACAAGGACTAATGGCCTTATACAGCTGCTTTGCAGCTTCTATCTGGGGCAGAAGAGGAATACATTTCAAATAAACGCAAAAAAGCTGCTCAAGAAAAGAAAATGACAGGTCAGGGGAGAACCTGTGACAGCAGAGACACGCAAGGAATAAAAGAGTTTCTCAAAAATGGAGTTCTGAGGAAAAAAAAAAAAAAAGCAGAGCACTTTCCGTGTCCTGTGATAACACACAAACACTGTGTTGTGTTGTAAAAGTAAAATTAATTTTGTACCACATTCCTTACTCAAAGACTTGTTTAAGCTTCATTAAAAAGAAATTACAGATAAACTCATGTCATGACAGGAAAGTGCCATGAATGTTCAATGCAGCATTTAACAACCATCATAAAGAAATATGAAATTATTATAATTTTTCAGTCTATCAGCCTGCACAAGGTGCAAGCAGAATTGCCTGTCAAATCCCTAAGTTTAATATAAAATACAAATTTTAAAGCTTTTCAGCCCATCAGTATTGATTTTACCTCGCTCTGCATGAGCTGAGACTCCTTTGCAGTCAGGTATGTGGGAGTTTCAAAGTCCAACATGGGCTTTCCTTTTTCCTTCTCATACTTTTCTCTGTATTTCACCTGAGAAGAAAAGACAGAGTCACTCTCCTGAATAACCAAAGACCTAATTAATCAAGTAGTATGTGCTTACTATCAACAGTTCTGGGATAAAAATGGAATGCCTAATGCAGTTTGCCTTCTTGAAATCTGTATTATTGATCAGCAAATGTAAAATTTGGTGCCCAGCAAGTAAAATGTACATGAAGATGATTCCCGCTTTGAGTTCTGCTCTCCAGATTTTCAGAGTGCTCAGTGAGGGAATGCTGTGGCTAAGTCAGAGCCTGATCCCAGACTGGGGCAACAAAGACTGGCTTAAAAATAATTACAGCCTCATTAACAACAGCCTGATTAACAACCATTTCCTTGTGGTCCTTGGCTGTGGGACCTCTTTACCTTTCCAAGCCTTGAACAGCCCTGGAAGTGCCCAAGGCCAGGCTGGATTAGCCTGGGAGGGTGGGAGGTGTCCCTGCCCAAGGCAGGGGTGGGTGTGATAATCCCAAATGTCCCCAACCCTTCTGGAATTCTGTGCCAAGCACAGAACAATCAGCTGTGGCCCTTGGTGTTCTTGCAGTAATTCCTCTCTTGCTTTACAGCCAATAAATACTTGGAACAGAAAGGATCAGAGACCAAATCAGACTCTGACTTTCTCTGGAGTGATCCACTGTTTTATTCCAGAAGGAAAAACTCCAGCCATGTTGATAGTTTTGGTTAAAGCCATTTTGGATGCAGGAGAGGTCAGCAGAGCTCTCCTTTGGATCACGGAATGGATGAAGCAGTTGGAAATCCACTGTCAGCAACAACCCTAATTCCTTCAGTTCCCAGTGATTCCCAGGTCCTTTATTTTCCAGACATAAATCCCCCTGATAAATGTATTATCCTGTGTAAAAAGATCCATGTACAGCAGAGGTGAGCAACAGGGATTGGCTCTGGAATGTAGGAATCACAGGGAGATTTCATCTGTGTATTTTATGTTCTGCACTTGGAAATGGGCAGGTTCTGCTCCCTGGATCCTTCCCCAGGGGTGCAGTGCTGGTGGGGCAGAGAGGGACAGGGAATGTCCCAGCCTGGAGGATTCACTGGGAGGATTCTGATGGAATTTGGAGCTCAGTGAGTTGGGACAGGGACAAACACACGTCCAACTTACGTGGCTCTGGAGCTCTGAGGCCTCCCTGAGATGAACCTGCTCAAGATTATCTGGCACCACATGGTAGTGACCCTTACTCTTCTCATACTGCTTCTTGTACTGGTACTGAAGGGAAGGTGTCAAAAATCATCTCAATCAAAAAAAAAAACCCTCAGCAAATTTACTTCTTAGGTCCAATCAAAGCAACACTTCAACGGAATATCAGAGAGAAATTAGAAATGCAAGAAGTAAAACAAAAACCAAGAAGTTTAGAATTGATATTGGGGGTTAAAGATGTGAGGGAATAGTTATTTCTTTGTGGTCATTTGGATTGCAACAAGGGTTTTGTCCAAACCAGGATTAAAAGAAGAAAAATAAAGAGAAGAGAGAAAACACAGCGGGTGATGAAAAGGCTGTACCAGGCAATAAAGGTTTTGCCTTTTCTTTTTACCAATTATTTTGTTAGGCATAATTATGTGGATTTACAATAGGGGAGTGTTAAACATCCATCCAGTAAGAGTAAAAAAAGTAAAGTAAAGAAATCCAGATTAAAAAAAAAAATTAAATATAGTAATCAGAAAAGAAAAAAGGAAAAAATAAAAAAAGGTATTTGTTAGTGTAATGCAATCAGTCAAAATGGGATCAAGAACCAGCCCAGTAAAAATGAGCAGAGGGTTTAAAACATGAGCAGTTCTGCAGTCAGTTAAAACAGGATCAAGATCCAACCCAGTAAAAATGATCAGTGTTTACAATATTAGCAGTGCTACAGGAGATGAGCATTTCCCTTCCCAGGGCACACGCGCGGGGCAGCCGCCGGTTTAGGAGGCACCATTGGGAAGCAGAGGAAGAGATCACTACCAGGTGATGCCCATGGAGGTGCCCCAGGAGCAGCTGTTACAGGAGGAGTTAGCAGGGAATTCCCTCGGGAATTCCCACCCTGGGGGCTGTGGGATCACCCGGAGCTTACAGCACTGGCGAGCTGGCTCGTGCTCAGCACGTGGTTCATGAGCAGCGACTCCTTCATGTCCGTCACGGGCTTGTGCAGCTTCTTCAGGTCTGCCTTGTACTTCACCTGCAGGGAAAAATGGTCAAACCCATCAGGAGAGGGCCCTGCTGGTCCAGCCTGCCCCGAGGGAGGTTCCAACCACACAAAGGAGGGATTTGGGAAAGCAGGATGGGATCTCCTCCCAGGAAAAGCCAAGGTGAACGTACCTCGCTGGCCATGTTGTGGGCGTCCTTCAGGGTCTTGTAGATTTTGGCCTCCTTCAAATCGTATTTTGGCTTTTTTCCCAACTCTTTGGCAAAGTTCTCCTTGTATTTCACCTAAACAGAGAACAACCAGGTGTCACAGCTACTCTGCAGGACTCACTCCGCAGAGGGGCCCTGGCAGAAGAAGGAAAAGCACAGGAACTTGAAGGTGTCCCCTGGAAAAAGGATTATTTCAAAAATGACCTGAGATGGAAAGAAAATCTACATCTATCTGGCATTTACAAGATACCAGTTGCAATTTTTCATCCAGTGCAAAGGTCACACCTCCTCATTGTAAAAATAAAAGAGCCAAGAGAATTGTGTTGCCAAAATTCTGACCTTTGGAGGTGAAGAGTTTTTCACTTGATGGGAACAGTCCATTGATTAAAGATGTTTCACAAAGACAAACAGAGACAGGTACAATAAGAGTAAAATACAAGAAAATTATATATTATATAACATTAATATAGAATATATAAAATATAATAATGTAAGAGTATACGGAAGAGTGTTAAGAAGAAATTTTTATACACTTCTTGGAGAAATAAGAGCTTTAAAAACCTCAAGACTTTAGAGCACTGAAGATGTCAATACATCAAATACTTTTCTATCTATTGTTATGCACACAGTGTGTGCTGTCTGGATTACAGGAGGACATTAGTTACAAACAGAGCAGTGACACAATTAATTACTGATGATAAATAATTAATTAGATTCTACAAGAGTTTTAGTAACACTTCCAAACCACATCAGCTACAGCCAAGCCAAACATAGCACTGTGAACCATCAGGATCTAGCAGATCCAGCCTGGATGCACAGAAATATTGACAGGAATGAGAGTTTTTTTAAACCCACAAGGAGAGTTGCTGGGAGATCAATGCAAAATCAAAAGCAAGAAAGCCAGACAGACAAAATCTAACTAAAAAACACAACTGGACACACAAACTGGAGATGACACTTTACAAAGTTTATGAGAAGAGACATCCAAGAGAAAAAACAACTGCTAAAGATGATGCCAACCATTCTTTGCTCCCTCACTGCCCCTCCAGCAGCTCACTTTCCCTCAGAACCAAAACTATCTCAGCAAAGAATGTTTGAAAGACCAAGAGTGGAAAAAAAATGGAAAACCAGGATCTCGTCACTGAAGTGGAACAAACAGAACTTCTTCTTTTTCTTGTAGATCAGTTTAGAATGGTTGCTTCTCCTGAGGAGATCCTTGGTTTTCCTGCAGACATCGTGGACATTACAACATCCAAACATGGCAGCAGACACAGCCAGACATGGAAAAAAACAAAATCCCTTTTTTTTTCACTTGGAAATACATGTGTAGAACTGAAATGGCACAGACCTGTCTGCTGCCACTCCCAAATGGGCAATCCAGGCTCTGGTCTTCTATTTTCCAAAGGTTTTGATGTGAGAAGAAGTTTAAGAAACAATGAGCTCTCACACCACTTTTCAGTGGGACTGATTCAGTCACAGCCTGCTCTTCCATTAGGAAATTCCAACCAATAAAGCAGTTTTATTAAAGTTTAAATGAAGTTTTCATAGAAGTTTGAAGAGTTAAAATGAAGTTCTGGTGACTGTTCACTGAAAATTACCAGCACCATTGTTCAGGTTGGTCATACATATATATCTACACATGTATTTCCCTGTGATTTTTTTTTCATTTCTGGACAATAACAGCTCAGATTTTAGATTTTTGGGTGAAAAAGGTGAGCTTTCACATTAAGTGAGTGCACCGAAACCTTCCACAAAACAACCTGGAAGCTCCAAAGCCATTATGAAGGACAGAATGACATGTAAAGCTTCACTGGGTGCTGCAGAATTGCAAGATAATTATGCCAGCAAGAGACAGATGCACAACAATGGCATTAAATGGCAGTTAATTAAATTCTCTTACATGACTACTTAGCATATTTGCTTTCTTAAAGGTTCTCATCCAGGGGGTGTCATAGGAAGCAGCTCCATGGCCTCTCATGTGTTGTTTGAGGTACTCTGCCTACAACCAGCAGCAAGAAAGCAGGGTCAGAAAGGCAAAAATCCAGAATTCAAACACAAAAAGAGGTGAGAAAGAACCAAGAGGGACTGAGGTCCTGGCACAAGATTCTTTTAAAGATAGGAAGGAAAAAGGAAGTGGTTGAAAGAAACCAAGTGTCCGTTCAAAGGATGGAAAATAAGAGTTGGGTGAAGGCTGGTTCTGGTAAAGCCAATACCCAGAAGAGCTAAAAAAGAACAGGGCAAACACTTCAGCTTCAGCATTTATGCCACAGCATCATCTTAAGAAGGTTTTCTATCTCCATTAATGACAGTAGAAAAGTTTAACAAAGAAATACTTTGTACTGGTATTTAATTTTTACTTCCCCACATTCCCTTCTTTTCCCTTTTCCCCTAATTTGGAAATAATTTCAACTATAATCATGACATCATTCTTTAAATCCATTTTAAGTCTCATTTCTCTCACTGCTTTGAGTCTCACCAAGGTTTGATTTTGCCCTTACCTGGCTGGTCAGTTTGGACACCTCCTTGGCCAGCTCAATGTCTGGACGTCCCAGCATGGTCACACCCACACCTGCTGCTCCACGCTTCTTGTATTCAATCTAACCAAAGAAATAAATCCTTTAGGAGTCAGGAAACCTGCTTTTGATTATTCTGCTGGATTTTGTAATTAAATAAAGGCTAAAGGATTATACAGAAGGCTTAAAACCACTCACATTGCTGATTAACTTGGCAGCCTGAGTTGCTTTCTTGATATCTGGTCGATCTGCTATAGGTGTGTAGTGGAGTTTGGATTTGGCATCTTTCTTGTATTCAATCTAATCCATGGAAGAAGACAGATGAAAGAAAATTAATGAGAAAATTAAATTTATTTATTGGGAATACACCAGTTAAGGACAGAAAAACGTTGCTGAGAAAGCTTATGGATTTGGAAATCTGGTTGTCTGCAAGTGACGAAATAAAGATATGCCTGAAGGGTTGAAAAAAAATTATAAGATGTGATTTACACCAGACTACTTGAAATCCTGCAATGGAATTTAAATACAAACCCCTTATTTCAGTGCAATTTTATATTTGTAAATATTTGTACATTTATATTTCAAAATTACACCCCAACATGGAGGCTGGGAGGAGATTCAGAAATCCATAAAGTTGGGTTTTCCAGCTGAATTTGCTACATAACCTACTAAATTAATGGAAAAAGAGGCAAACTTACTGTGCTCTGGTTTTTAGCAACTTCCATGGCATGTTTCACCTCAGGAGGCTCCAGCATGACAGAATAATTGGATTTGCCTTTCTCCTTCACAAACTTCTTCTTGTAGTTTGTCTGTCAAGAACAACGAGGGCCACGTGTGAGTTTTTAATGTCACACAGAGGGAAATGCTGCAGAAACTTTGTTAAAAAAGCTCCTTGAAACTTCTGTAGGCGGATAAAGAGGAATCACCTCATTCCCAAAATGTGTTGGCTGCAGCTTTTGGAGCTGGGATTAGAAAAGCTCAGCTTTGGGGATGCTGAGCTGGCTCTGAACTCACCTCGCTGACGTTCTTGGTCACCTCCTTGACGTGGACAGTGTCCCTGGTCTCGGGCAGGGTGGTGAAGGAGCCATGGGGCAGCTGCTTCTTGCTCTGCTCTTTGTACTTGTTCTGCCAGCACAGGGGAAAGCCAGGTCAAAGCCAGCAGCTCCAGGATGGAATTCAATCCAGTTAAATGAAGAAGTAAATGAATGCTTTACCTCAGACACCAGAGAGCTGACGTTCTTAGCCAGCAGGATCTGGGGGGTGTCTGGAACAACGTGGTACGTCCCACGGGCTTTGTTGTGCTTCTCTTTGTATTTTATCTAGCAGGAAGGAAAGATAGCAATTTCAATAATGTGCTTTTTGTCTTCTGGCAGAATAAAAAGCAATTAGTACAGTCACGTTCGCTTGTTAGTGCAAAATTTTGCAGAAAATCCCATATTTTTGACATCTTACAACCTAATCCCTTCATTCCTATAGCTCTCACTTGGATTTTTTAGTACAGTCACGTTCGCTTGTTAGTGCAAAATTTTGCAGAAAATCCCATATTTTGGCATTTTACAACCTAATCCCTACATTCCTATGGCTCTCACTTGGATTTTATTTTAATATCCTGAATACTAACATACTGTTAGTAATTATTAAAGATATTATTAAAGATATTTTGTGTTATTATTAAAGGTATTTTGTGCTATTTTCTCCAGATACTTCCTGATTTAAATATCAGGAATATAGAGATGCACCTGGGTGTAAGGTCTACGGGTGTTCAGGCAATGGTAACTTTGAATATTAATTTATTCCATTAACTAGGCCAGTGGCTTCTACAAGACCAAATTTATACAGTCAATTTGTTAATTAAATAAATCAAATAATGAAGTGAGACTGAGAACAACTGTCCAAAGCTTCATTGCTAATCTAATTATATTTGCAATGGAACAGTTTAGTAGTGAGTTAAATGGTAGTAAGGAATTTGGAGAGGAAAGGTGAGTTCAGTGCTTACATCACTGGCCAGGATGGCATTATTGAGGGCCAACACTGTGTTTTTATCATCTGTGACAGAGAGTTTGCACCCCTTGAGGAACTCCCGGTCCAGTTTGTATTCATACTGCAGGAAGGAAAAAGAAAAGAGTAAGTGAGTGAGTCTCTGATCTTCTCCAGTTTAAAAATATTCTGAATAGGAGAGGTGGGGAAATGGAATATTCAGTGTATTTTGATTTTCTTACATCACTCTGCTGCAGAGAGGACTTGGCAGCTTGGACAAAGTCAGGCCTGTCAGCAATCAGGTGCCAGTGGGCTTTGGCTGCTTCGTATTTCTTCTTATAGTCCAGCTGTGTCCAGGGAAAAAACAAACAGGAAGAGTTCATGGGAAACTGGGGACTTTGCACACAACATAGAGAGGCCAGCTCTCTTTTGGCCTGTGAGAAGAGGTGAGAAAATGTATCTACAGCAGATTAGGGCATTTCTCTGGGTCAGGAACAGCCCAGCCACTGCAGGTTTTCCACTGCTGGGTGGAGAAAGGAATATGAAGGTGGAGAATGGGATATGAAGGTGGGGAAAGGGATATGAAGGACTGAAATGATGTCCTGACTTTGGAGAAGAGGAGAGCTTTGAGATCCTTCCTACTGAAATGGGTGTTGGGCACCAATAACAGAAAACACAGGAATGTTTTCCATGAGGCTTTGCTTTGTGTCCAAGAGCATCATCCCATGGAATTCCTGGGACAGTTGTGTCTCTGCCAGGAAATCGGGGGACAGCTGGAAGAATGGGATGTGTGACATACAGGAACCTCAAGGACAACTCATCAGAGTGAATACTTCAATATGAAATAAATTAAAACATTTTCTTCCAGCAGTGTAACGATTAGAAGCAATGCCCAAAAAATTCAGTAGAATTTAATTTCTTGTGAAATAATTTCTTGTGGAAATAATTCCTTGTGACTTTCACTGCCAGTTCCCAACAACCTCCAGAATAAAATTAAGCCATGAACAGGACAGAACTCACGTTGCTGTTCAGTTTGTAGGCGTGCCTGGGAGTTTTGATGTGAACTGAATCTGCCACGACGTTGCAGCGAGATTTGCTCCTCTCATACATTTCTTTGTATTTCAGCTGAAGAAAGACAAAGATGTAAAAAATGTGTGCAAAGACTAGATCAGCACCAACAAGAAAAGCATCCAAATATGAAAAACTTAATTAAAATTGCTCCTGTCTGGATAAAATCTTAAGAGGAGAAAATGACTGGAGGTGGCACTCTGGGCTCTGGGCTGGTGATGAGGGGAAGTTTGGCACAGCTTTAATTTGATAGTCTTGAAGGCTTTTCCAACCTAAATAATTCTGGGATTCTATGAAAAATAAATTCTGTTGATACAACTTGATATCAAGCACCTGCCTGAAGGAGAGTTTTCTCCAGCAGCACGTCTCTTTATAGACAACATGAGGCAGTTTTAACTCACCATGAGGCACAGACTAAGATGGAACAAAATCTATTTATGACCAGTAATTCTGAATAGTTCTAGATTTTTGCAGCCAAAAGAAATCCTTTGAAGAAACTTATTTTCTGATAGTTACAATAATTGAAAACTCTTTCAGAAAATCTCAGCACTCAGTTTGGAGCTTAAAATATGTTCTTCAATTCACATCTCTGTCTCTCAATGATCCACTTTAGTATCTGTATAAAAATTATTATTTTTTTCTCCTGGATCTACTAACTATGTAGAAATCTAGGGAGCATCTGGATGTGATTCAGGCTACTTATTCTGACAGTATTACACTGAATTTCAGCAGTTTCAGTATCCTCATTTATGGATACCTAAGGAACAAAGAAACAAAGGACAGAGAGAAAGAGTAGGAGAAGGAATTAGGAGCAGGAGTCCTAAATTATTTATTATTCTATCCACTCCTTCCTCCTTTTTCTCTCCTTCTTACTTGTCTACTGCCCTAGAATCAAAACATATTTATTTTAGATCAGAATATTTACCTTCCATTACACAGTATCCATTTAAGAAATTAATAAACACAGCAATACATGACATACTTTATTCAAGACTCAAAAATAAAAGCCACTAGAGGAAGAAAAACCAGAAAAAAACCCTCTCCAAATTAGTGATTTAGAGACCACTTCCAGCTCATGGCTTTTATTTCTAGTGAGGGGTGGTTTGTCCCAGCAAAAAAAAATGTTCTAGGAGCTCCAAAAGAAAATTCTATGTAAGACCTCCTGAAAAACTGGGTTTTGAAAGAGCACTGAATGCAGACAGAGTTTTACAGGCCAGTATGGTGATGATTTCCACTGACAGCCTTACACAGGAGTGACAAACATTGGCTACCAAGTTAAAAAGTGAATTTTGGGTGGTTTTGATGCCACAGAGGATTCACTCACATCACTGATCCTGTCCTTGACCTTGCGCACGTGCAGCAGCATCGGCGTGTCCTGGATGGTGGTGTAGCCCTTGGGCTTGGCTTTGTTGTACTCCAGCTTGTAAATAATCTGAAGGGACAAATTGGGGCTTGGGTTATTTCTTGGAATCCTTGGAGTCAGCTGGGAATTCCCTGGGGGTGATTGTCCCATCCCAAAGGATGCACACTTACATCACTGATCTGCTTGTTGACCTTTGTGGTCCGTAAATACTCTGGAGTATCCAGAACTGTGGTGTATTTGTCTTTCTTCTTCTCATAGTCCTTCTTGTACTGAATCTGGGGATGGGAAAGGCTCTAAGTTAATCACACACAGCAGGGCAAAACCTCTCCCAGAGGTGGGATTATATCCATGGGTAAAATTGCAAAACCCTCCCACAAAGCCAAAGGAAGCAGAACATGCACCATGAGCTGAATTGCAAACCCCTTCCTGGCCCAGGAGGCTGCCTGCTTGTTTGTCTGATTCATTTTGTAGTTATTTCAAGCTAAAAATCTCCAAGACTGAGCTAAAAAAATCATTCCTTGCAGACCAGATGCTTTAAAGTTTCATAATGGACAATATCTCATTTTTAAATATTCATATTGGTTGAAATTTGGACTTGGTGATCTTGGAGGTCATTTCCAGCCTTAATGATTCTGTGATCAGAGTGAAGAGAAATGTAAATCATCTCACACAGCAGGAGATGAAAATGTTACCAAATATATCCCAATGCCAGGGTATTTTCAAGTCTTTGGCAGCAGGATTTATGCCTTGATAATGATTTTCTTAAGGATCAGCTTGCCCTGCTCATGTTTCTAAACCTTTTCTCACAGAGTTCACCAAGTGAGAACAGGTTCACCAAGGATGGAAATTCATTGTAGGCAGCCTTAAGGCAGCTGGAAAAGGTTAGAATACATTTTTTTAAAAAGAATTTTCATGCTCTACCCTTTATCAGAAAATAAACCCATGCATTTGAAATGGGACTGTGACAGACAAAATATGAAAAATGATAAACAAATAATCAATGATAACATGGAGTGAACTCAGGGGACATGCAGGTCAGACACTTGTTTTTTAAATTCAAACATACTCAAAGTTACCTGCAAGGAGTTTGTACTGAAAGAATATAAATCCACAGAAAAATGGAACACAAATGTCTGAAAGACCTTCAGTAATTTATTACTGAAGAATGTCACTATGGGCACAGGCAATAACAAATTACAATTCCCTCTGACAGAATGGTTTTCCACTGCTGCATTTCCAGTCTATCATTTATATTCCAATTCATGATCAGGAATGATTTTTCCTCTGCAAAGGGTGAGCTGATTGCCAGCAGCTGTGATTTCAGAGCAAAAATAACTGTTCTGTGTCTAACACCATTCTGGGCACAGTGGGAGATAAATGCTGGAATCTCCCTGGCAAATCCATCATGTTCTCCCTGAATTAAGGAACTGGGGCTATCAAAGGGGGCCAGGCCAAGAAATGGTGTCAGAATGAGAACTGGGTTAGGGAAATACCAGGAACAGCTAACATCCAATATCTGAAATGTACAGAAAATTGCTTTTTTTATACAAATATGAGAAATACATACTAATTGTTTATAAAAAAGGAGAAAATGGGGACAAGCTCATCCTGAGCTGAGCCATGTCCAAGTGACAGCAAATATTGTTTCAGATATTCTGTTTTCTTTTACCACAGCCAGCATTAAGCAGAAGGAGGAAGCTTTGGGGTCTGAAGTCCATGGAAATAGAGGGAGCAGTAAATTTGCCAAGTCCAAGCAGCTACAGTGGCATCTAAGGCGTCCTAGAGCAGCAGCTCTGCAGATTACCTGGCTCCACAGGTATGTGTTGTAGAGTGCTGTCAGCATATCTGGCCTCAGAATTTCATTGCATCCGTGCTGCAGGAGCATCTTGGCAAAGGATTTATAGCTTTTCTGTCCATGCAAATGGCAACCAAGGACAAGAGAGACCCATGAACAACATGAACAACGACACAGCTCTAGATCCCAGGCACTTGGAGAGTGGAGAGATTTAGGCAAGGTGCTGTATGTATTCAGCCACATGTGCATACAATTCACATCTGGATTACTAACACTGCCAAGGGTAAATATTAACAAGTTTTCCTGCTCTCATTTTAAGGAAGTTGTGAATTTCTGGGGGGAGATGAGAGTAAATTAGAGATTAAGCCCTGTTGCTTTATCTAGAAATGAGCAAGAAGATTTGAAAAGAGAGGTAATAAAACAATAAATGCTTGAATCTGCATTTTTAAGACCTCTCCAGTGGCTTCAGAAGGGAGGGGATCCCTGATGTCCATTGATGCACAATAATGGAAGTACATACAGGACAGATGGACAGAGCAGCTCACACAAAAAGTGGCTCCTTTTTGGGTGGCAGGATGGAGATTGAGTGAAGAGTGAAGAAACATGACAAAAACCACAGGGCTGTGACACTGCTGGGAGTGAGGGTGGCACACAGAGCTGCTCCAGTGCCCCCACAGTACCTGACTGCTCAGGGTGCTGCCCCACTTGGCCAGCAGGTTCCTGGGATCATCCACAATAACGCTGTACCTAGCTTTGAGCTTCTCATAGGCTGCTTTATATAATTTCTGCTCAGAATAGCACATACAGTGTAACAAGAGAGGGTTAAGATACAGAGAGATCACTGGTATAATCTCTTTACAGGCTGGGGTTGAAGGTCATGTTCAAAAGAGAAAAATATATTAAAGATAAAAAAAAACCCTGAACAAACAAATAAACTTTTTTAAAAAAATCAAAAACTTCAAAACAACAACAAAAAAACCCCAAACAAAAAACCACAAAAACCCAAACAAACAAAAAACCAAAACAAAAACCAAACAAAAAACCAACTAAAAAACCCCAAACAGAAAAAAACACAAAAAAACCTCATAAAAATCAAAAATCACCCCAAAAATAAACAAACAAAAAATAAGCAAAAACCCCCAACAAACAAAAAACCCAAACAAGCAACAACAACAAAAACCTAAAAACCAAACCAAACCAAAAAAAAAAAGAAAAAAAGAGGAGAGGCAGAATATTTCCAGATGCTAATTGCATTTCTACATTGCCTCTGGACGGCCTACAGTTTAAGGATGTCTCTATTCCACCCCTTCACTAAGCAATTTTATGATTGATTTTCTCCATGAAAAGTAACTGCAGAAGCAACTCTTTGTTGTAGATTCCTGAGCTGAGTCCAAAGAGAACACAATGAAATGTTATTAAAAAACATCACTTATATAACATAAGATATTTAGGCAAGCATTTCAATATATGGAGCACCCATTGGTAAAATTTCACCTGTTTATGTTTCTGATATTAATTTTTTCTTTATTTGCCCCATGAGCAATTATTAGACTGAATAATCTTCATAAACATTTTGGTATTTGTTCAACAAATTTGTGAAACAGCTTTTCTTACCTAGAACAGGTAACGCAATAATCAACTTACTGACAGGTAATGATATGACACAATGGCTGGTGAAAAAGAATGAGATATTAAGATATAAACCTAAATATCTGCTTCTTTGCTGAAAAGCTTCAGATTTTGATGGGCTGTTCCAACTCTAAGCTGATGGGAATCACCCTGAACGTGGTGTTTTCCATGGAATTTGTCCTGGGCTGTAGAGCACAAATCCTACAAGCTCCAGGAGAGATTTGAATTTTAAACCCAGGGGTGTTCATTAATTATTAGGTTGTGTCAATTGTTTCTTTAGCACTACTGGAGGAAAATAAGAAAAAGTTGAGTGGTAGAGTTGAAAAATTCCAGGCAAAATCACTGAAATTAAACAAGCTGGGGAAACTTCAGACATAACTCTGTCTTCCTAACACCAACAAAGACTTTATCAAGGTTTTAGGAAAGCAATTGGAATTCTGCCCACACCTTTTTGAGATGGAAACCAACACTCAGGGTTCCTGTACCAGCAGCATTATTTAAGTCAGCAAAGGAAAAGTTCCTTTGCCATGAAAAATTAATGAACAGGGGTGGGGATTTCACCTTCTAGGCTCTGCAAACCTGTTCTGTCCTAACACCCAGAAGAACAACAAGCTTGCCTTTCATGACTTTAGCCTGATCTTAAAGCACCTTTAAGCCTGATTTTAAGGAAGGACAACCTTCAACTCTGTATTTACCCATAGCCCAACTCCTGAAGGCTGAGCCTAGAGGAATCTTTACTTACCGCATCCATCAGCTGAGTTGCATATTTAAAATGTTCATTGCTTGGAGAGTCAGCCACATACTTGAACTTGGACTTGGTCTTCTCAAAGTTCTCCTTGTACTTACACTGCAGCCAGAGAAAAGCAAACACACAAAACCCAGCCCATATTAGCCCAAAGAAGGTTAACACAATGAAAATGTGATTTTAGAGAGAACTTGTGGCAAAAAAAAATTGGTGAAATTATTGCACTTGTGAGTTAACTTTTCTACCAGCAACAAGTAGTTGTAAATGGACAGCAAATGTCCAAAACCACTCAGCAACAATTCAGAGTGTGTCACTCACCCCACTGTAGAGCACTTTATTCTTCTCTGCCAGGACAAAACTTGGAGTATCCCACACATAGCAGCCAGTGCCTTTGAGCCATTCCAGGTCTTCCTTGTATTTAACCTTTAGAAAAGAAGTGAAAAGACTCAGCTTTAAGCAGATAACGAGTGCTGAAATGAACCTCAGCCTAGGGTGTGGCAAAGAGAGCTACATCCATTATAAAATAAATTAGTTTCTCCTATTTTTGTGATGGACTCAGTTTATTCACACACATAATCTATCATTAGCTGTTGCAGTTTGTGTGTGAATTAAAGATAATGTACAGGTAAGGGGTTATTGTGTATGTACAGAAATGTACAATTATAGGTTGTTACAGGGCTTAACAAATCTAAGCAAATACAAATGAAATTAATTAAAACTGTCTGCTAATTTGACAAGGGGATGTGCTGCAGTTTTAGCCATCAGATTCTGTCTGATTGTAAATCACTGAAAAACTTCAGCTGCTTTCCCTTTGTTGAGAAAGCAGGTTTGGGCTCATTCTGGAGACCACTTTGAACCTCCATTGTGGGCCGTGCAGGAGCTGCTGGGACTCACATCACTGATGGCATCCGTGACCAGGCGGTGGTGGAAGTGCTCGGGCCGGTCTGGGATGGATCTCCAGATTCCCAGCTGGCTCATGTAATTCTCCTTATACTTCACCTGCAGAGAAAATAGAAGAATTAAGTAAAAAAATCAAAGAGAACACTCCAGAAAACACAAAAGTTTCATTTTCCACCCACCCCGAAACAGCAGAACTAAAAGAGTGGAAATGAGATTAACTTGTAACACCAAAGCAATCAATATCCCAGAGAAAGAGAGAAATCAACACTGATGATGCTGAGTTTTTCCTAATTATTTGACATATTGAAATGGAACAAAAGGCTAAGTGGCCTATTTTAGGTTATTAAGTGCCAAACACTAATTAGGAATGAAGATGTACATACGCTGCTGATGTCATCAGTGACCTTCCTGTGGTAGACAATGTCCAGAGCATCCTTCACTGTGTGGTATTTGCCCTTGGTGTTCTCAAAGGTTTCTTTGTAGCGCAGCTGGGAGGGGAAAAAAAACACAAAAGAAGGGATTAATGTGCCAGGAGCTGTTTCAGTTACACTCCTCACTTCTCAAGAATGATACCCAGGGACATGTTGCTGTCTGACATCCCAATGTAAGCCCTGAGGAATTTTAGGAGGCTGCAATTGCCTACAATCAACTGTGATTTCATTGAGACTTGTGGTGAAAATTACAGGGAATTTCACCCAATTCACTTGCAGACTGAGGAACAAACATCCCTGCACCACAGGAATGCTCTCTAGAGCAGCACAGGTGCCACTTCTGGCATAAAAATCTTCCCTGCCCTCCTCTAGAAGAAAGCAGGAAGATCATCCCAGACTTTCTCAGAGGGGAAGTTCCCAAGTGCAGAAGAGCTGGAATGCTTCTTGGCAGTATTTAAAAATCACTCTTAGAGCAGTAAGACTAAATAAACCCTAGAACAAAGCACCAGCCCTGCACATATCCTTTCACATCCTGCTGGTTGTGAAATATATGGAAAAGCTCTCACAAATGAGCATTTTTAAATTGGCTTAAATCACAAATAACCATTCCACGCTTGAAAAAATCAATTTCACCTTAACAACCTCCTGTGCAGCAGCTCAGGTAATTTTTCTCTCTATTCTATTTCTGAATTTAAAAAATGAACACATTCCCAGTGACAGGGCAGTTTACTGCTAACACAAAACTAAGCAAAAAAAGCTGATAAAAGTTATTTTATCCTAGCCCCAGCATCAATCACTTCACTCCAGCCTGTTCCATTTGGAGACTTGATGTGTAAGCAAATTATTTTAAATCTGTTTTACTTTGCTGTACAGCCACTCTTCAGTGCAAAGGAAAATGAAAATGAATTCTAAAAATTGGAAGAGAAAAAGAGGCATTGCAGTAGAATCAAATTAAACTGAATAATGTTCCTAATTTCAAATGGAAATAGACATGTAAATAAGGGGACTTCCTTGGTGGGGGACACTGACATATTCTGTGCTTTGCATGTTTGTTCCCCACTGACTTTTGCTGTTCTTTCCATGGAGAATGCAAGGAGAAGCAGCAGGGGGTGTTCCTGGAGTACTCACATCACTGGCATTCAGGTAGGCTCTCTTGGCTCTGATCAGCACTGGGGTGTCAGGGACTGGGGTGTATTTGTCCTTCATCTTCTCATACTGGATTTTGTACTTTTTCTGAGAGAGACACAAGAGGGAAGAGTCATCATTGCAATCTTAGAAGCATTTGCCAACTTGGAAAAAAAAATTCTTACAAAATCGTAAAACGTGTTTTCAGAATGTTTAATTTCACCAGAACTTACAAGGAAATGTGGAACTAAAGCATAAGAGAGCAAAAAATAAATGAAGGCTAAACAGATTTGAGCCTTGAAATTAGCACTAAAATTAGAAATGAAACTTCTGAAGAGTTCAGCAGAGTGGCAGCAAATTAGAAAACAAGATTTTACCTCGCTGATCATGTCCTTGACATTCCTGGCATGTGCAAAGGCTTGAGTCTGACCATCAGCATGATGGTGGGGTCTCTCTTTTGTGGCAAGCTCCACGTACAAGTACTGCAGAAAAAAAGAAAATAATCAAAAAACCCCACACTTCTACTAAATTCTACCTTATGTCTCTGAAAAACAGCTGCAAATTCACAATATAAACATAACCACCAATTTCTAGGAATTCTACATTGCTTGGAAAAGGCCTGGAAAGATTTTGCTGTACTTCAACAATATATTTAGAATGATCCACTGATTGATTTTCATATCAGCACAATTTTTTCACCTGGCTCTGTATTTTTTGTCCTGTCTTGGCTCTTATGAAGTCAGGTGTATCAAGGATGGAAGTGTATTTCGTCTTCAGCTCATTGCCTGCAGCTCTGTAAACCAGCTGGAAAAAGACAGGTCCAGGAATTATTTCTTCTGCTATCGTTCAGAAGCTGCACAGTCACAGCTTTGCTATTATAACATTTCATGTATTCCAGTAAAAACACAGGGAGGGGTTAATTACAGCTACAAAATTGTGCAGAAATAACAGAATTTACCTCACTCAGATGAGTTTTTAGTTCCTGCACTGCTCTGTATCCAGGAGTATCCAACACCACCTGGACTTTAGGCCACATTTTCTTGGCAGTACTTGTGTAGATATAATTAGACTGAAAAGGAAAAGCAGCATTAATAAAGGAAATTTTACAGTGCAACCCAACTGTGCTCTGAAACAACAAATTGGCTGCACGGCACAAAATTCTCTCATTCTTTGCTCATTTTCATCTGCTTCACTTCCTGCGTGCACAGAAATAAATCCATTGTTGTCCTGCTCAGTTCCCAGGGGAAAACTCTTACCCAGAGCTTGCGGAGGTCACGGGCACGGACCATGTCAGGAGTGTCATAGAGGAAGCAGCCCAAGCCCTTCAGCCACCTCAGGTCCTCTTTGTATTTAATCTACGAGAGAAATTCAAATCAACGGCTGACCTTTGGGATCATTTCAATCTCTGGTCCTTAAATGCAGTAAGAAAGGGGTTTTTTTTGTTACAGAACAGAAAGGGAGTGAGAGAAACCCAACCCCAGTCCCAGCAGAGAGGTTTGGACCTCACTGCAGGTGCTGCTTACGTCACTGGTGATGTCCCCAACGTAGCGACAGTGCAGCACGTGAGGGGTGTAGGGCAGGGAGATCAGGTGGCCCTGCATCTTGAAGAAATCTGACTTGTAGATGAGCTGGAAAACAAGGAACAAAAGAGCATTTCACCTGTTTGGTCAGGGGATAATGTCAGTTTCTTCAGTTGCTCTGTTAGGAAGGCACCTACATCGCTGACGGCCTCCTGGGTGGCTCTGACTTGGCGGATTTCGGGCGTGTCAGGGGTGGTGTGAATCTTGTCCTTGTTCTTGTGGTAGGTTGCCCTGTACAGCCTCTGTCACAAGAGACAACATTCTGCATTTGAACACAGCTCAAAACCTTGAAATGGCAAAGAAGTTCCGTGCAGCGTAAGCACTTCTTACACAAATTACTGCTTTCTACCTAGGAAAAGCCCTTCTTACACAAATTACTGTTTTCTACCTAGGAAAAGCCCTTCTTACACAAATTACTGTTTTCTACCTAGGAAAAGCCCTTCTTACACAAATTACGGTTTTCTACCCATTAATTGTTCAATAAATCCTGGAAATCTCAGACTCTAATCCTAAAAACATGTCAATTCATATACTGAATTTTCATGCTATTAAAGCCAATAATCAAAGAAGTGAGTATATATATATATATATATATATAAAAAAACCTAAAACTATTGTGACACAATTTTATACAGATACAATCATTTCTGTTCAACTTTAATCACAGCTAACAAAATCAGACTGCAGTTTTATATTATGGTAACAGTTTCAGCCTGATCAATGATCCCTCACTATTCTTGACGGATAGTTCTCTAAATAATTTAAAAAGCCTCAAAGAAGAGGGATCCTACAACTCAGCAGTCAATGTAATCTCATTATGAATATTTTGGGCACTGCAAATGCAACTGAAAGCAAATACATATATTTACTGTACCTCGTTAATGACTTGATTGACTTTCCTCACATTTTCAAAGCCAACATCTTGAGGTCCCAGAGTGTAGCCCTTGGCTTTCATGTGTTCATAGGCTTCTTTATATTTCAGCTATAAGAAGTACAAAAACACACAGAAACTAAATTTGATCATGATTCTGGCTACACCGAAGTTCTGACAGCAATTTATGCTGTATAAAGAGACAGATTTTTAGAGATAAACAAGTGAGATGTAGCTGTATCAGAGTTAAATACACCACACATCATAATTATTTTTCCCTTTATCCTACGGCCCAAAATTAATAATATAATACATTTTTCTTGCATCTAATACAGTATTTGCATAATGCTGAGGAAATTTCTATTTTGATAGTAAAGGCCCAAGCTGAGAGTCCCTTGGCTGGGGCTGCTGATCATTGCCATGGTGTAGAAGATGATTTGGAAGGATTTAGACCCTGACTTACATTACTGCCGATGTGCTGGGCGTGCTTGGCGTGCTGGAAGTTGGGAGTGTCCGTGGGAAGGCTGTAGCCAGTGGGCAGAGCATTCACACCAGCCCAGCGATACAAATTCTGCAAGAGCAGAGAGAAAGACTTGGTACAGCTGTCAGCAATACTTGAGGGGAAAATCCCTCCACCCCAGAAACCTCTGCATCACAAGTGGCAAAAGATTTCCCCCATGTCTGGGGAAAAACTCATTAAAATGCATTTTTGTAGCTTGAATGAAGATATTTTCCCACTCTCATTTCAGAGCAGTGACATGCAGCTTCACCTGAAAAGCTAAAAGCAGACAATTTGGTTTTTCAGTATCACAAACTCTGTGGAGCCTGAAATTCTGTACTTACCTCACTCTGTATTTTGTTTGCATTGTATGCCCGCTCCAGATCCACTGTTTTATCAGTGGGGATCATCTTGCCTTGGACATTCTTCTTGTAATCACCACGATAGACAGCCTGGGAAAGAGAGAAAGTCGTAATTGTCACATTCTCTCACGGTGTGTTTTGTTTGCATACAATGGGAATTGTTCCTTTAAAAAATAGATTGAAGTTTTTTGTCTTCAGGCAATTAATGATTTTAGTGACTATGTCTACAATGAGGTGTAGATAATCAACAATGATTAAAATTCAATTATTAAAAACATATTAAAAGTCCCATTTCTAAAGCTGGTGAGGTAACAGCATTGGGAATATTGGCTGGAAGGTGAGAGAAACACTTACTTCACTTAAATTCAATGCACTGATCACATTCTGGACATAGACAGGAGTGTCTGTGACCACAGTGAAGTCCTTCTTCATTTTTTCTGCCTTAGATTTGTACTTAATCTGCAGAGAGAAAGCAAGAGCTCTAATTGCTAGGGCTAGTAATTGTTAATTTAATTAATTTATTATCATATTTACTATACTTACTATTCATTTCATCACTGAGCTATTTTATTAGTGAACCAGCATTGAAACAGAGAGTATATTGGAACTATGGCTTGTTATTTAGTGAATCCTTCAATCAAGAAGGATAAATAACATTTATTCCACTACACCTGGAGTGGAGTAAAGCCACAGTGGAGTGAAAGAGAAGACTAAGAAGCAAACCCAGGGTTATCCACTCACATCACTGCGAAGATCATAGGCTTGCTTGGCATGCAGGATTTCAGGAGTGTCCCAGACAAAGCAGCCAATGCCTTTCAGCCAGTTCAGATCATCCTTGTAGATCACCTAAGGAAGCACAGAAAGAACCTGTAAGAATTCCATCAGGACCTAATCCCTTATTTCTAAATCACTCCAAAACACAACTATCAAATGATGGCAAGGAAGGTTTCTACCACTTTGATTTGTTTGTTTGTTTGAGAAAATCAAAACAATTCTTTCTGGAATTTAAATAATTTTTGTTCAATTTGCTTCAATTTGGGCAATAAATTAAAAAAACAATTATTTTTTTTAAAAATTAACTACCTGCACCTCCTACTGGGCTCTGATTTACTGCCAGATCCTACTCCTGGGCTGACCTGCTCAAGGCAAGTGTGTAGAAGCTGTGCCCAACCAGGATTTTCTCAGACTTCCAAAGTTTCCACACCTCATGCAACCAAATAAAGGACAATATACAGAGAGGGTAGAACTGTAATGTTATGACCCAAATGCCTGCACTATTAACACTGAAATTATTGAAATTGTTGTTCAGAGGTTGTGGACTCACCTTCCCTGGAAGTGTCCAAGGCCAGGTTGGACAGGGCCTGGAGCAACTTGGGATAGTGGAAGGGGTCCCATGGCAGGGAGTGGAACTGGATGAGCTCTAAGGTCCTTTCCAACCCAAACCACTCTGGGATTTTCTGATTCTATTCAAATAAGCCCCATCTCAATGACCCATTTATTGGCAAGTGTCACAAAAATGAAGTCAAGTGGAAACTTCAGAGCGCTCCAGCGACATTATTGCTGAATCATTTCGTCCAACAGAGCACAAATGAAGGAAAGTTCTCAAAAGTGAGCCAGGAACAAGTGACTTGGGGACTTACATCACTGACTTGGTCGGTGACTCTTCTCACGTGGGTGTTGACCTGCAGGTCTGGCAGGCACAGCCAGTCGTGGAGCCGCGTGCGATAATCGATCTCACTGATCTTCTTCTGGGCATCCTTGGCTGAGATGATGTCCACCATGTCTGGGACAATGTGCACCTTGGCTTTGGTCTTCTCATAGGCCTCTTTGTACAGACGCTGTGGAATCAAAGTTAAAGTTCAGTTTCATAAAGCTGAAGAATAAATTGTTGATAAACTTGCAGGAAATCATTGCTATTTTTGCGGGATGTCAGTCAGAGAGAGATCACTTTGAGTCTGACTAAAATTTACATCTGGCCTGCTCTAGAAATAATTTGCAGACCTCAACAAGGGAGGTAAAATGTGATTTGTTCAATTTTCATTGTGCTGAGGAGCTAAAAGAAGGCAGATGATGATTTCACCCATATTACACTAAAGGTTTGGCCATGCAGGCAATGCAGTAATTGAGTTAAAATTTAAATTTATGGTTGTATTCTAGAGTTTAGCAAATACTGCTCACTGCCAAGTGCAAGTGGGAATGGGAGGTGTGGATCAAGGCAGGAGGATTCCTTAAGTGGCTGCTTCTGAGATGAGCATGGCTTTACCAGGAAAACACACATCCAGAACCAACACTTACATCAAGGTTGAGCTTCCCAACTCTGAGGCACCTTTCTGTGTTGGGATCATCCTCAACACCTCTGGGGAGGGTGTACAGGGCTTTGAACTTTTCATATTCCTCACGGTATTTGACCTGAACACAAGCAAAGAAATGCAACAATTAACTGACTCCCATGAGTCACTTGTGGGTTTGGAACAAAATTCATCAGCATTAAGCAAAAAGTTGAGTGCAACAAGTAAAGGCTTTTAAAGGCTTTAAAGCAGGATTTTAGTTTTCTGTTATATCTTAAATGCAGAAGAAAGCACATCATAACAATCACATTGCAAAACAACAGCTGACTAGAGGATTTAAAACATAAATAGATGTAGAATAAGGCACTTATTTATTTTTCCAGCTGTTTCATTTAAAGAGATCTGTGGAGTGGTCTCTCTTAAGTCTAACTTCAGTAAAGCATAAGAAGTTTTCTATACTTTGTAAGCATCATTTAAAGATGTTTTGGGTTTTTTTCTGACCTGGATACTCTTGGACTAGAAAAACCCTGACATTTTCAGTTTGGATTACTATAAAAATTGACCTTTTTTTTTTTCCATAAAAGCCACAAAGGACTGTTACCCAAATGACTATCAGAGAAAAATCATTATCTACAGATATATATTACATCTCAATTAAAAATGGAAGGAAAATTAAAGTGTTAAAATATTTATATCTATAGTAGATGCAAGGCATGAAGGATTTAATTGTTAAAATATTTTTAACCACTGCAATGATTAAAAAAAATTAAGAATTTAATTCACTTACAATGCTTGCATTGTGCTTCAGTTCTTTGGCACGTGCCAAGGCTACAGTATCTGAGGGCAGTGCATAGCTGGTGGCTTTCACTTTATCCCAGGCCTTCTTGTAGAGATTCTGTGAGGAAATAGAAAGTTTGTGTGAGTGGAAAAACAGATTTTGTAATGCATAGCTGGTGGCCTTCACTTTATCCCAGGCCTTCTTGTAGAGATTCTGTGGGGAAATAGAAAGTTGTGTGAGTGGAAAATTAATTGTAGATAATTACCAACAACCAATAGAAATCAAAAGCCCTTCTGCTTTTATTTAGACATCACATAATAAAGTATTGTAAAGAAGATATTAAGTGACACTTAATATCAAGTGCATGTAAAGGGTGACAAAAATCCTTTCTAACTATTCATGTCTGTTGTCATACAAGGTTTTAATTTTGTTCAGGTGCAATTTTATTCAGGAAATCTATTTATTAATCCAGGTGTTTTGCCAAGACTGGCATTACAATTGGAAAATATGGCCCTTGCCTGAAATACAATATCTGCCCCAAGCTCAAGCAGTGCAGAGGGCCAGCACTGGCTTTGAGAAGCTCCTGGTTTGGATGTTTGTCTTCAAAGAGTGAACAGACAAAATAAAACAAAGATCCCACATTAAAAGTCCTTAAGAAAAAGAAAACTGTGTATAAATACTTACATCACTATAGAGGTGTTTCAAGCTCTGAACTCTTTCTGAATCCACTGTGTCAGTCACAGTTGTGTACTTGTCCTTAGTTTTGTGGAATTCCTCCTTGTATTTCACCTGGAGGATGAAAGCTGGGTTTAGTGAATAGTTTCAATGCTCAGCAGGACAATCCTGAGCAGGAAAGGTGGGGACTCACCTCACTGGCATTGGCAGCACTTTGCAGAGCAGTCACATAGACAGGGGTGTCTGTAACCACACTGAAGTTCTGGAAGTTCTCCTTCCCTGCAGAGGTGTATTTTATCTAAGGACACAAAACCAACAAAACACTCGTTAGTGCTGGAAATTACCTGGAAATCCCCTGCCAGCTTCCTTTAAAATCACATCTGGACAGCTGAATTTAAAGATTATAGCTTGGTTAAGATCAACTCTGAAAGTGACAGGTCATTAAATAGAAATACTTCATATATAGCCAGTATGGACTAAGGAATAATGAAATTAAAAACCACAGCTGTCTTTACATTCTCCTAAGTTTTCTCCTCCTCCAATAATACAAGTGATGTCTCTACAGAAGCAAGTCCAAGACTGTATTTTCACAGTTTAAACAAAATACTTCTGATGTAACAGGAATTACTTCTTTCAGCTCTGGACTAGGACATGTCAACTCCAGTGAATCATAAATGGAAGAAAAAAAACACATAAGTATTTATTTATTTAAGGAAGACTTACCTGGCTCTGCAGGTCATAGGATTTCTTAGCCTGTAGGATTTGTGGAGTATCCCAGACATAACATCCAAGTCCCTTCAGCCAGTTTAAGTCATCTTTATACACAGACTGCATGGAAGTGAACAGAACATTAGGTTAGGAAGAAATTTGCCTTCTACCAATTGAACCAAGGAATTCTGCATCCTACTAAGCCAGGCAATTCACACACCCTCAGATTTTATTGGGAAGGTTGGTTGGCCCAAGCTGGGACACCACTGACTGCAGAATATGATCACAATTCTCTCACCTGGGGGCTGATACAACCCCAACAAACAAGGGGAATTCTTTTCCAGACCCACTGGATCCAGAAGGATTCTGGATGCTATCCTGGCCCCTGTGCTAATTTCAGCATTCCCAATTACAGCAGATAAGGATCACTGCAGTGATTGGTACTAGGAATCCAAGGCCACAGTTATTAATTTCATATTTAAGTATTGTGGAAGATACTTGGGGAAAAATTATGGGAAAGGCTATAATGTCAAACAAATGGGTTCAGTAAGCTCCTATAAGTTTAGAAGGGCTTGGACAATGCCCTCAGGCTCCTGGTGGGATTTTTGGGGCGTGCTGGATGACCTTGATGGGTCCCTTCCAAGCCAGCCTTATCTATGGCTCTGAATAAGTGACAAACATACATCACTCAGGATCTCCTGGGCTTTCCTGGCGTGGATGACATCGTTCTCCTCAGGGGAGCAGCTCCACTGGTGGAAGTAGGTGCGGTACTCCAGGTCACTGAGGATGTACTGGCACTTCTTGGCCAGGACGTGGTTCATCATGTCAGCTGGGATATGCACATTCTTCTTGGTGTCTTCATAGTTCTTTCTGTAGGCCAGCTGAAAAGCAAAGATTGGGGAAATGTGAGAGGAAATCAGAGTGATTTTCTGTATAACTTTGGATTTTGGACTAAAAGGTGACAGCATAATCTGAGATGTGGTCTCTGGATTTAGTAGCTAAACTGCCATGGGATTTAACAGGATAGAAATCTTAACTTGGATATTAATCTCCTTTTATTGTGTCAAAGTTCTGGAAGGACAACAATTACCTTCACTTGCAGTTTTAACAGCTGATGAGAAAACTAAAAAGTCTTCAGGATTAAAAAACTCATGCTCCACACGTGGTTTTCATCTAATTAAAGATAGAATATTTGGGATTACACTGATTTTGTGCCCTGCATGACATGCTGTATGTGCAGTGCTGACAACAGCAACACACCAAATGTGCATTTTCTTTTCCAGCTCTTAAATTCCTATTTCAACTCAACATCTACACTTTTATTTGTAAAGGAAATGAATCCCACATGGTATTTTGTACTGCTCAGATCCTTAGACTGAAACAGAAAAAGGGGGGTTTTTGCCTTACTGTAGTATTACAAATAGCTGAACAAATCCCTTCTCAATCTCCTAAGTAATTTTAAATTCAATTATTCAACCCACATATAAAAATAAGCATTCAGGAAATATAAACATGTTGAAATAATTTTTACTGATATTATTGTGGATTTATGTTAAGGTTGGGCTTGATCTTGGAGGTCTTTTCCAACCTTAATGATCTTGTGATTCTACAGCTCAATTAAACTTTGCATGATTTATGTTTAAGTAATGAAATAGTGCATTTCATCAGTGAAATAAATGGTGAAATAAAGGAAATGGAAAATATTCCAGACTCATTCATTCCTTACCGCGCTTCTCATTTTCTGGAATTCCAGGGAGTGAATGACACTGGGGAAATCACCAATATCCTTCCCAGCCAGGTAATGGCCCTTCAGCTTCTCGTGTATTTCCTTATATTTAAGCTGAAAAAATATTCATGTGGAAATTTTAATGTTCATTCTTGACAACAAATGGCGGGGGGGGAAGGGAAAGAATGGGAAATCCCTCCTGACCTCACTGTTGATGTGGTTTGCATGTTTGGCTCCCACAAGTGGAACATATTTCTCATCCAGAGTGTATCCAATGGGCTTGCTCAGCTCCCAAGCCTTCTTGTAATGTTTCTAGACAAGAAAAAGCATACACAGATTTAATGAAAAAATAATTTATATTTCCCATTTATACACACATGGGATATGACATGGAATACAGAATATTTTTACAGAGTGGTTCCCAATAAATTAAATGGAGAATGTTCATTTTGAACAGACATTCAGTAGAAGGCAAACAGGACAAGTGTTCATTTTAGGTAGCTACCTGAGCACAGATTTTAGCTGATTCTTGCTTTGGTTATTACATTTATACCAGAAGGGTACTAAAAATATCCAAAATATAGATATGAGCTCTGGTATAAAAGTGTAGTACAGAATTGAGATTGATAATTTTATAGATTATCAAAATTGTGAAAAATCTTTAAGAACTGTTGGTGTTTATTAAAGAAACATTAGCGTCAATGGCACTTTCCTAATACTTATTTTGTTAAATATTAAATATATTCACCTTCAGATCAAATTATGAAGTGCCTACTCTTATGAATGAGTAAACACATTTTAAAAAAATTGAGGTTTCTCATTAAAATCAGTGAGACTACTCAAAAGTAACTGCCAATTATGTAAATCATCTACAGTTTTCATTTCTTACACAAAAAGTAAATGTAAAATTTATCAGTAGTCCCCAAAGATATTATTGGATGGAATGATATTTAATTTTGTCACACCATGACAAAACCAAATGACTTCCAAGCACCACACAGCTGTCCTTTGAGATCACTTCAATAAGGAAAGAAATCATCCTGATTCTAGTGATCCAAATAGGAAAGCTGCAGAAAAAAGGGATTAAGTAACCTCCCTAGTGCCACTACTGAGAGTAGAACAGTTCCTCAAGTCCACCCCACACTTCAAAGGTTGATATTTATGGGATCTCACCTCACTCTGGAGCAAGGCCATGTCTTTGGCATGGTGCAGAGCAGGAGTATCATCAGACCCAATGTACTGGCCTTTCTCCTGGTTAAATGTTTCTTTGTATTTTAGCTACAAAAGAAATCAAACACACTGTTAATTCCACAGGAGAAATACATTATTCCCATTAGTCCATCTATTAGTAGTAGACATTAATTTTCTTGTGTCATAATGTAACAATGTTGTGTAGGACATTTCAACCATTATAATACACAGGTAAACATTACTGTGTCACCTCAAAATACACATGGTATTCTTGAAAAATTTAAGTTACTGCTCAGCAAATGCAATTTAGCAACACCAGGAATTCCATGAACTCTTCATCAAAAACAGGACTCAGTCTTCTGTAAGAAAAATCTCTGCCAGCTCTAAGTCAGGGGCATGCCATATTCTTCTACAGGAAAATGTTAAATTATTTAGACAGCAATATTGTGTTGTTCATTCATATCACTTAGTAAACTTGTTCACCCCAGGAAAGCCTGTTATTAATGAGGTGCACACAAAAATATATAAGGTTAAAACTAGTATAGTTAGCAAAAGCAATTAAATAATCCCCTAATTCTTCTATATGAAATTTATTTTTAAAAAAAGGTACATACATCACTCTGATTGACAGAGTTCATCTTTGCCAAGGTGATCTCAGGAGTGTCAACCACACTGGTGTATTTGGAAAAGTTCTCCAGGGCTTCTTTTGTGTAAGCTCTCTGCAAAGAGGTGAAATAATGTCATAAACACTGTGCATGAGAAAGAAGTGCCAATTGTGGAGCTGCTGAAATATTTTCTCTTACCTTATTTATCAGTTCTTGTGCATTCTTAACCTTCTTATGCTCCACTGAATCGAGAGGGATCCAACCACAGCCACGGAGCCACTCCAAATCAGCTTTGTAGACGTTCTAAACCAGAAAGACAATGCAAAAGGACAGAAATTATTGAACTCAGGATGGACTATGTGCTGTGGGCAACAACCTTAGGCCAGATCCAGAAAGGACCTCGTAGGGCTGCACCATCACTCACATCACTCTGGAGGTCGTAGGCCTGCCGGGCGTGGATCACATCGTTCTGGTCAGGGTGGCAGGTCCACTGGTGCAGGTACTGGCGATACTCAACATCACTGACCAGGTTCTGGCCCTCCTTGGCTGCCACAACTGCCATGGCATCCGAAGGCATGTGGATTTTGGACTTGGTTTTGTTGTAGTCTGACTTGTACAGCCTGTCGTTCTGGATCTCGCCCGCGTGCTCGTACCACACCAGCTTGGGGTCATCCCTCATCTTGGCAACTCCCACGTAGTGACCTCTCTGCTTGACATACTCAGCTTTGTATTTCAGCTGGTGGGAGAGGGCAGAAATACAGAGAAAATCAGCACAAACTGTATCCACTCTGGTTTTAACCTGGGAACAACTTCAGCTTTGTCAACACAAAGAGCAGATCAGACAGGGAGTTCTCAAATGCAACTTTAGGTTTTCAGCACATGACCAGATAAAAATCTGGTCACAAACAATAATATTACTTTGTATAAGCCTTCCTGTTCAAAATATAGCATTTTCTGGTCTAATATACTCCCCATTTTCAGTAAAAGATATTGTTAACACAAGAGGAAAGACTTGCTAGAAAATGTTTTCTAACAAGCACATTTACTCTCATTTTGAAACAAATTATTTGAGATTGTCTGAAGAGTGAATGCTTACTTATGGTATTTACATCAACCTGTTTTGACAAAATGTTTATTCCAAATAAGAGTCATGCAATAATTTCAAGATCCATTATGTAAATGTTAAAAATTAGAAGTGTGTACTGGCCTAGAGGTTTTGATACGCCAAAAAGTGAAATCAGAGCCATATATGTTATAATCATAGTATCACTTCAAATTTTACACTTTTTTTTTATTATTTAACACTTATAAAGTATGGAAGTCCAGCTCAGTTGATTTTGAAAGGACTGTTTCTGGAGAGAGGGAATGTGGAAGGAGTCTGACCTTCAGCACTAGTATCTCCAAACCCCATAATCACAAAGATAACTGAATTATTTGGAGGACATAGTGGAATTCACAGGCCACGCAAAGTCTGGATGTTACCCCCGATGGAAAGCTTCTTAAGTCTGTTTGAGAATTTTCAAGGCCTTTAACATTCCATGCTTCCAAGCACTCATCTTCCTAATGAGAAGAATCATTACCTCACTTTGGACATCACTGGAGTGCTTGGCATGAGTGATCTGCACCGTGTCAGGAGGCAGGAGGTAACCAGTGGCTTTTTCTTTCTCCCAGCTTTCCTTGTATAAATTCTGTGGGAAATAAAAGTGATGAGGAATTCAACACTAATACAGTGATAATGATTACTGTATGTATGCAATTTATACAGAAGTATAAGAATAAGAAATCCTTCCTTCAGATTAATAAGGCAGGTTTTCTAAATACCTCAAAAATGTGAGTAAAAGCTGTCAAGGAGAGACCACGCACCTGATTTAGAATTCTGGCTGCCTCTCGGGCCATGTCCAGCTGTGGTGTATCTGTGAGAGTATAATTTGTCTTGGCCTCATTCCATTCTTTGTGGTATTTAATCTAGGACACAGAAAGAAATGACTGCCTTGTAGCATCCCCACAGAACTGGGAAAACACCATAATTTGCACATAAAATAACAAACCAACCCCTGAATTGGCAAGGCTGGTAGACAAAGCACATTAAATACAGAATCACAGAAGTCAAATGACACGCAGACACTGAGAGCAAACTTACATCACTGAGGATTTCAGTGCTATTCTTTGCTGTGACATAATCAACTCTGTCAGCCACGGGAGTGAACGGGAGAGTTTCAGCTTTTGTGCGGTACTTCCTCTGTACAAGAAAGAGAAGAACAGATTGGCCTGGAATATTTGATGCTTACTACAGCAATTCTGAATACATACACAAGACAAGGAAGTTCTCATGGAGAAAAACCTCTCCATACATAATAAATGTTGTGAAAATACTGCAGTTGCATTTTTCATTTGAAAAAATCCCTCATTGTTTAAACCATTTTAAATACTTTGAGTGATATATACCCCTGAAGAAAATTTTAGTATTGAAAAACATTTGGTTACCTCACTCAGGAGATCTCCAGCATATTTGACATGCTTGACTCCAAGGGAATCATTTGGCAACCATCCGATTCCCCGCAGCCATTCCAAATCAGCTTTATAAACAGCCTGGGAAAACAAAAGAGGGTCCGTGCTCTTAGCTACACTGGTCCATGCTCTTAGCTACATTTCCCTGGACAATCCAGCAAGATTCATAAATAACAGAATATAATTCAGTGGTTAAAAGGGGAGCAGTAGTTCCAACATGAGCACTACATCTGAATTTATCACCCTCCAACCATGGCAATTTATAAGTGGCCTACACTTTGCAACTCTAACAAAGAGCAAGATGAGTTCCCTGAATTCAGGAACAGATTCCCACCCCTCAGAGCTGAAGCAGAATAAGAAGAGGCAATACAGGACTAAGTTAAGGGGTGTTTTCAGGTGAACTTACATCGCTCTGGAGGTCGTAGGCTTGCCTGGCATGAATGACGTCGTTCTGGTCGGGGAGGCAGATCCACTGGTGCAGGTAGTGCCGGTAGTCGGCGTCGCTCACCAGGGCCTGCCCATGCTTGGCTGACACGATGGACATCATGTCCACTGGCAGGTGGCACTGGGTCTTCTGCTTGGCAAAGTACTTCTTGTACTCTCGTTCGCTCTGGACTTTGGCCACGTCCAGGGCAAACTGGATTTTGGAATCTCCCTTTGCGTTCGGCACTCCCACGTAGTGTCCTTTCTGCTTCTCGTGCTCCAGCTTGTATTTGTACTGGGGGAAGAGCAGAGGTCACCATCAGTTACAGCTAGAAAGAGCTCTTGGAGCATGGGATTTACCTCTTTTGGCACTTACATCACTGGCAATCTCTCTAGAAGCCTTGGCTGTCTTGATTGGAATTGCATCTGCTCTCAAATCGTAGTTCGTCTTCAGCTCATCCCAAGCTCCTTTATATTGTTTCTGAAGAGAAAGATAAAACATCACACACATGCTGAATACTCTGGCATTTGCCATTACAGAAACAGAGCTTCCAGCCATTTCTTTCCTGAAATACTGTGAAATTTTTTGAGTAGTACTCCCACTCCTAACCATGAATGCAGCTGCCTCTGAAACATGTAACACCAGTTGTGCAACCTATAAAGCACAGAAGTGTGTTTGTAAAAGTGTAGAAAATATTTATGTGCCTTGAATTGTCATCCATTTTAATAAAATATTCTCTCAGAGGGGCATGATATTAATAATTTTTAAATAGCTGAATGCAAATATTTATTTTAAAATGGCCAAATACTTTAAGGATACTCAGTAGAGAGAAGGGAATGCCACAAGCCCTGTATGAGGATAGACTTCAATGAGATTCACAGAGATTCAACATAGAATGATATAATCCACATACTATTTTAGAGAAAACAGAATGATAAACATACCTGGCTGTAATTAACAGCATTAGCCTTGGCTAGGTTGATTTCAGGGGTGTCTGGCATGATGTGGATCATAGTCTTGTCCTTTTCCCAGGCTTCTTTATATTTTTGCTGTTAAAACAGTCATTTAATAATATCATCAGACTTATGGAATTTCACATATCAATAACATAAAATCCCATAAATCTCTCCCGAACTGTCATCTCTACAGAGTAAAGCGTTTGGAAAAGCATTACACTTAAAACACCATGGATCAGTTTTACATTTTAACAGTGAGATTTCTCTTTAGCTTTAGTTTCTAGTGCAGCTTTGAGGAGTTTGGAACATACAGTGCTGATCTGTTCAGCGTTGGTTTTGGCCAGAACAACATCTGGGGAATCCACAACACTGGTGTACTTCACACTGTCAATGGGGGTCCGATACACGTTGTCACTCAGGAGATCCTGGGCATTCTTCACCCTCTTAACTTCTGGAGAGTCATTGGGCAACCACCCAATTCCACGGAGCCACTCTAGGTCTGACCTGTACACAGCCTGGGTGAGATGGTCAGAAAAGGAAAACATTGTTTAAAATTATTGTCTTAATTATTTTAAGCTATGCAAAGTAGATTATGTTATATAAACCTAGCTAGAGTCACATGAATCCTTTTTGTAGACACGAGATGTTCATTGTTGCAAGTAAAATTAAATCTGGCAAAAAGTTCTTAAGTAGTTCAGCTCTTAAACAACACATTCTAAGCCATGTAAGGAGAAACAACTGAAAGGTGTTGCAGTTAAAGATGATTAATATTAAAAGCTTACAAAAGTCTTCCTGTCCCTTCCAAAACACTTTCCTCTACTCATTACAACAATTCACAAGTCCTAACAAAACCCCAAGCTACCTACCAGGAAAACTGACACACAGCAAGAAACAAGAACCTCATCTCCAAAGCTTGTAATTGAAACAGTGGAAGAGGAACTGATAAGCAGCAAAGCCAGGCTAGGAAATCAGCTGCACTGACTCCTGCTTTGCATTCAGCCTCTAAGACCTCTCACTGGCTACCTCACAGAGTTTTCTTCCAATTAAATAAATTTCCAAGCTTACACAAGCAAAGAGAAGTAACAAAAGCCACCTGACTCCAAGGCAGCAAACAACTGTTATTCCTAAATCCCATCAAAGCAAGAGAGACAAATCCTGCAGCCTCCCCAAATCACACCTGTCCAAAAGCATTATGCAACACATCATCAACTAAAGTTCTACAAAATTTAGAAATAAAACCAATACTTTTAAAAAGAGCACATAATAGCAGTAACAAAAAAATTAAGAAAACAGTCTAAATATAAATCTGTTGTGACTATATAGCATTGAACAATCAGAATAAGGCTATAATCTATTAAATAATAAAACTACACATCTCTGTGGATACTCACATCGCTCTGGAGGTCGTAGGCCTGCCGGGCGTGGATCACGTCGTTCTGGTCAGGAAGGCAGGTCCACTGGTGCAGGTACTGCCTGTAGTCAATGTCACTGACCAGGGTCTGGCACTCCTTGGCTGCCTGCACCGACAGGGCATCCACAGGGATGTGGATCTGGGTCTTGGAATCATTGTAGGCCTTCTTGTAGAGGCGGTCGTTCTGCAGGGCCATGGCGCGCGCGGCCTGCGCCAGCCTGGGGTCCTCCTTGGCACTGGGGCACCCGATGTAGTGGCCTTTCTCCTTCTCGTGGGTTTCTTTGTACTTGTACTGGAAATGCAGAGAGAACAGAAGGTGTGTTTCTCACCTGGACACAGCCACCTGCCAGCCTGAGCTCCACTCAGGTCTGCTGAGACACAAGCACCACACGAAGAGAAGGCTGTACCTCACTGGCAATGTCTCTGGAGGCCTTGGCTTGCTTGATGGGAATGGCATCAGCTCTTAGGTCGTAGCTTTTCGCCTTGACCTCATCCCAGGCTTTCTGATAATGTTTCTGTAAAGAAAATTAATTACCTTTGTGAAACATAGTGAAATGCCTTCTCTAAAAACCTGCTTGCTGGGAATGACCAGCTTGGGAGCCCTGTTTGCTTCCTGTAACTGGCAGAATGACAATAATGATCCTGGCAAGTGTTTCAACAGAAAATTCATGACTTAAAGTAGGTGCAAGATTAAAACTCAAAGAGGCAGCAGAAATATTCCTGAAGACAGACCACTATGTCTGCAGACTCCAACTGGACTCCACGGAATGTATTTGGCAGGTTTTGCCAAAGGAAGCAGAAGTTGTGTGGAATTGCACACTGAGCTTGGGAGTTTGTTCATGAACACACAACCTGTTGATAGGCTGAGAGGTGATAAAAAGCCTCTGGATGTAATTTCCTGTTAACAAGCACATTAGAAAGTGAGTTTGTGCACCATCATTTACAGCAAAAACTGGAAGAACAATTGCCAGCCTTCACTTTCTATCGCTTCACAAATATTCCATGTTATTCTCTTACATTGCTGATGTTGAGAGCATTGACTTTGGACTGCAGCATGACAGGAGTGTCTGAAGGGAGGGAAATCTGGGTCTTGTCTTTATCCCAGGCCTCACGATACAGACGCTGAGGAGAAAGGAAGAACAATGGCAATATCAGTATGGTGAGAAAAAAAACACCAAGAGGAATTCTTCAGTAATTCCAACTTGCAAAACTTCCCAACTCATCATTCCCACCGTAGAAATTCTACTCTCCACCAGAAAGAAATGAAATGTCATCCCACAAGTGAAAGGGGAGCTTACATCACTGAGCTGCATGGCGTTGGTCTTGGCCAGGACAACGTCTGGGGAGTCAGTGATGCTGGTGAACTTCAGCTGCTCCGGCCGCGTGCGGTACAGGCGCTCGTTGAGGAGCTCCTGGGCCTTCTTGGCTTTGACCACATCCACAGACCCTTCTGTCAGCCAGCCAATGCCTCGCAACCATTCCAGGTCGGACTTGTACACGTTCTGCAAACAAACCAAGGGTTACTGGCATTGCAGAGACAACTCTTAGCCCAGAGAGCACTCTCAGTTCCTGGAGATGTTCAAGACAAGTCTGGATGAGGCTCTGAATAACCAGGTCTACTGGAAGGTGTCCCTTGCCCATGGCAGGGGGCTGGAATAAAATGGTCTTTGCCAGCCCAAACAATTTTGGGATTCTGTAGCTCTAACTCTAAGTTCAAGAAGGTTTTTTGTAAGCCTTTCCCCAACTTATTCTCATACTCTTTACACAGCAAGCAGCCGGTGATGCTCTGTTGCATCAGGTCCTTTCTAGACACAGCACCCCTGATTTGCAAAGAAATAATACCTTTAAGACCCCACATTGAAAGCAGGAGCATAATCTGCAAGTACTCTGAAAGCAAACATGGTAGAGCAGACCAAGAAAACATGGCTTCCTTATGAGCTGCCCCAAATAATTCCAGCACACAGGCTGAAACCCTTTGGAAAGGACAAAATAAACGTACCAGAACCGACTGCAAGCCCATGAATGTGCATTTGAAAGTGTATTTGCCAGTCACTAACAAACACAGCCTCACACAGCTGCTCTAAAGCTTTCCTACAGTGATTGTCACTCACATCGCTCTGGAGGTCATAGGCCTGCCGGGCGTGGATCACGTCGTTCTGGTCAGGAAGGCAGGTCCACTGGTGCAGGTACTGCCTGTAGTCAATGTCACTGACCAGGGTCTGGCACTCCTTGGCTGCCTGCACCGACAGGGCATCCACAGGGATGTGGATCTGGGTCTTGGAATCGTTGTAGGCCTTCTTGTAGAGGCGGTCGTTCTGCAGGGCCATGGCGCGCGCGGCCTGCGCCAGCCTGGGGTCCTCCTTGGCACTGGGGCACCCGATGTAGTGGCCTTTCTCCTTCTCGTGGGTTTCTTTGTACTTGTACTGGAAATACAAAAGGAAATGAATCTGGGATGAAGGTGCCATAATTTCCTATTGCTACTGATCACAAAAATACATATGCTTGTTTTTGAAGGAAATGAAAATAAAGGAATAACATACATCACTCGCAATATCTCTTGATGCTTTTGCGGTTTTGATTGGAATTGCATCAGCTCTCATGTCATAACCCTTCTTTTTGGCCTCTTCCCAGGCTTGTACATAAAGTTTCTATACAAGAGAAGACAGAAAATGGCTTATCAATATTCTGAATGGTGGGATTTTGGCATTTTACAATTGTCTCTCAAATTTTTCATGAATGCGTGTTTCAGAAATCTTTATGATTAAAGAAATACTGACTTAACTCTGAATTTCCATTAGTTCAGTAAATGTTTAAATCTCCTTACCTTGCTAACGTTGGCTGCGTTGGCCTTTGCTAATAGAATGTCTGGTGTGTCAGGCATGACATGGATGGACTTCTTGTCTGCATCCCAGGCTTCCGTGTACAAGCGCTGCGAGACAGGAAAACAGCCCTTTACAAACAGTTCTTTATGAAATTATTTTACAATTACAATTTTTTTACAAACTGCTAGGGGTAGTTTCAGTAAGCTCTAATACCCTGACACAGCAAAGTTTCTCTCTGAACAGTTCAAGAAGGAAAACTTCGTCTCTCCTAATTTTTTCTCAGGTTAAGCTGGTGCAGCAACTGATAGATTTGGATTGTGGAGAAACAGCCATAGGAGGAAAAGTGTATTAATTATTCTGTATAAGTTGTTTTATTATGCTTGTTATAAAGGAGGAGGTACTTAGTGACTTTCACCCCCCAGATATGAGATATGTTGCAGAAGTTTCACATCCAGAGAACTTCAGGTATTTCCTCATCACTTGTTCATCATGCAGTATTACCCTTGGAAAAATCTTTGATTTAAAGGACTTTTGGCTGTAGATTTTTGCCAACTGCTCACTTCAGACTGAGCCCTGTGAGAACAGCTTTCCTGTACAATGGCTGAATTTGGACATCAACTTTCTCTTAAATCCACAAGTTTTTGGGTTTACTTTGTATTTTGGATTTTTCACCTCATGAACAAGTTGTATGAACTGGCAGTACCACCCTCACCTTGTTCATGATCTCAGCATTTTGCTTGGCTAAGACCATGGCCAAGGAATCGGTCACACTGGTAAATTTGATTTTGTCTGCAGGCTGCCGATACTTCCTGTCACTGAGGATTTCTCCAGCTTTCTTGGCTTTCTCAACCTCCAAGGAACCAATAGGAACCCATCCAATGCCTCTCAGCCATTCCAGGTCTGATTTGTAAACAGCCTGAAAAAATGTGAAAGTTTGTTATACAAGGGCAAGTGTGATCAAATATTAGAATTAATATAAACAAGCACAAAATTTATGAACAACTGGGTATGTTTCTGAGGATATGGTTCTGACAACAACTGTTGTTTTTGAATATTAAGTAAAATAATTATTAAAAAAGGAAAAATAAAAGAGGTATTGGAGCACAATGATAGTATCAGAGTAACAAACAAATTATACCTCAGGTTAAGGACTGAAAAAATAGGATTAAACATATATTTGATGAAAGCATTGAAAGAATGAAAACATTTCAACAAGTCTGATGCAAGCGACTAGAGTCTTATTATCCATATTTTAAAAATCAGACTGTGCAAGACAATTCTGTATTACAAAATTACTGTATTACAGAATTACTGTACAGCAGAAATACTGTGTTACAAATTTAAGGATTTGCTCACATCACTCTGCAGGTCATAGGCTTGCTTAGCATGGATCACATCGTTCTGGTCGGGCAGACAGATCCACTGGTGCAGGTAGTGCCGGTAGTCGGCGTCGCTCACCAGCTGCTGGCACTTCTTGGCCAGCACAATTCCCAGCATGTCCACAGGGCTGCTGAACCTTGTCTTGGACTTCTCAAAGTCCTTCTTGTACTCCCTGTCACTCTGGATCTTGGCCACGTGCATCGACCACATCATCTTGGGGTCGTCCTCGATGTTCCTGGCCCCGATGTGGTGGCCCAGCTGCTTCCGATACCCTTCCTTGTACTTGTACTGCAGGGAAAAAAATCCACATATATATTCATATATTGTGTACTTTTTTAACACAAAGCATTTAAATAGATCTCTTGGTAGAAAATCAAGGAGCATAAAAATCTGTTATCCTCTGTCTCTTAGTGATATTGCCTCATCCTTGAAACAAAAATTGTCCCAGTCATTGCAGAGTTTTTTCCTGGTTTGTGTTTTGGGTTTCAATGTGACACTGAAACAGAATTTTTTCTTTCCTCCAGAAAAGGCAAGCATTTAAACTTTTAGAATTTATTTACTTACATATTTCTCTTGGAGACAGATTTTAAAGTACTTCCTATTTTGAATCAGAAATTATCTTGACAAACTCTAGCACAGACTCCTACATCTTTTTGTTCATCCTACTTTAACATCCATGGATAACAACGTAGGGCATATAAATAATCTTCATGTTATTTTATTTATTCATAATTGTGATACATAACTCATACACAAATACTGGCTATCCATTTTTTTGCGCACTTAAGGAATGTAGTAGGATCATTATGAAAACAGATTTCTATATTATCTATTTTGTGAAATGCAACATTAGCAAACAAGTGAACAAAGATTCTGATTCTTTTCCATTAGCAAATCCATAGAGAAGTGAGAACAAAGCCTGCTCACCTCACTGGCAATCTCCCTGGAGGCTTTGGCAGACTGAATGGGAATGGCATCAAAACGCAAATCATAGCCCTTCTTCTTTGACTCCTCCAAGGCCAGTTTGTACATTTTCTGTGAGAAAAAAATTCACAATTCAGTTTCAAAAAACAAAATTGAAAATTGCATTTTAGTTCAATACAACTGCGCAGTAAAACAAATAAAGTCACTAAACTATATTGTACATCATCAGACAATTTAAATACTTTTCTCTAGAAAAGAAAAAAAAATATTTCAAAAACCTTGTAATTTTATAGTGGATGTTTGGAAAATGGAAATCATTTAGGGAAGGCAAAGACTGGAACATTTAAAGAGCTAAATCACCTATTTCCACAACTTGCTGTAGAAATTATTTCTCATTTATGGGGGATGATATATTTTTGTGGAAGAGCAACCCTGATTTCAGCACTGAAATTGGCCATGTAGGAAAATAAACAACCTGACAATATTTTACCATTAATAAAAAATCAAAGGTGACAACAGTGTACTTATGAGAAACCCTTCAACTGTCTCAGCTGCCCCGTTGCACTCACCTCACTGTAGTTCACTCGGTTCTGTTTGGCCAGCAGGATTTCTGGGGTGTCAGGCATGACATGAATCGTGGTCTTGTCTTTGTTCCACGCTTCAGCTATATTATGGATGTTGTGAAATGCACGATTAGCAAACAAGTGAACAAAGATTCTGATTCTTTTCCATTAGCAAATCCATAGAGAAGTGAGAACAAAGCCTGCTCACCTCACTGGCAATCTCCCTGGAGGCTTTGGCAGACTGAATGGGAATGGCATCAAAACGCAAATCATAGCCCTTCTTCTTTGACTCCTCCAAGGCCAGTTTGTACATTTTCTGTGAGAAAAAAATTCACAATTCAGTTTCAAAAAACAAAATTGAAAATTGCATTTTAGTTCAATACAACTGCGCAGTAAAACAAATAAAGTCACTAAACTATATTGTACATCATCAGACAATTTAAATACTTTTCTCTAGAAAAGAAAAAAAAATATTTCAAAAACCTTGTAATTTTATAGTGGATGTTTGGAAAATGGAAATCATTTAGGGAAGGCAAAGACTGGAACATTTAAAGAGCTAAATCACCTATTTCCACAACTTGCTGTAGAAATTATTTCTCATTTATGGGGGATGATATATTTTTGTGGAAGAGCAACCCTGATTTCAGCACTGAAATTGGCCATGTAGGAAAATAAACAACCTGACAATATTTTACCATTAATAAAAAATCAAAGGTGACAACAGTGTACTTATGAGAAACCCTTCAACTGTCTCAGCTGCCCCGTTGCACTCACCTCACTGTAGTTCACTCGGTTCTGTTTGGCCAGCAGGATTTCTGGGGTGTCAGGCATGACATGAATCGTGGTCTTGTCTTTGTTCCACGCTTCAGTGTACAAACGCTAAAAAAGAAATCAGGAAGAGATTGATAGGGCATTCCAAACCAGGTTAATATCCCAATAAACATGGAAAACACATTCATTAAAATGATAGGAACCTGGTCTAGGGGAAATATTCCCTTCCCATGGCAGGAGGTTGGAACAAAATGATCTTTAATGTCCCTTCTAACCCAACCCATTTTATGCCAATATAAAATGGATATACAGTTATTTGTTGATATGGTAAAAGTAACATCAACAAAAGGAGAATTTATCTGAGGGAGTTTAAAAACATTAAGGAAACTGCCACATTGCTTCGGAATAATGAACAATAATTAGTGCTCGATGCACACACAGGCCAAGGAAAATATTTAAATGTAAAATGGAGAATATTACACAAATTTGAATCTTCCTCACCTGATTTTAGAGTTTTGAGTGAAATAACAAGAGGTAACAGATTGAAAATGAATCATGCCTGAACTGCAGCATTGCTGGTGCTCAGTTCATTCCCAGTCCCTATATTATGGATGTTGTGAAATGCACGATTAGCAAACAAGTGAACAAAGATTCTGAGTCTTTTGCATTAGCAAATCCATAGAGAAGTGAGAACAAAGCCTGCTCACCTCACTGGCAATCTCCCTGGAGGCTTTGGCAGACTGAATGGGAATGGCATCAAAACGCAAATCATAGCCCTTCTTCTTTGACTCCTCCAAGGCCAGTTTGTACATTTTCTGTGAGAAAAAAATTCACAATTCAGTTTCAAAAACAAAATAGCATTTCAGTTAAGCACATCTGGGTAATAAAACTATTCAAGTCCCTAAACAATATTGTTGATTTTCAGGCAACTTAAACATTTTCAGCCCAGCTCTACATTTACTAGAAAATAAAAAGCTGCAGATTTCAAAGACTGTGTAATTTTATTGTAGATGCTTGGAAAATAGAAATAAAATAAAAAGCTGCAGATTTCAAAGACTGTGTAATTTTATTGTAGATGCTTGGAAAATAGAAATAAAATAAAAAGCTGCAGATTTCAAAGACTGTGTAATTTTATTGTAGATGCTTGGAAAATAGAAATCATTTAGGGAAAGCTAAGCAAAACTAGTTATTTCCACACCTTGCTGTATAAATTATTTCTAATTTATGGAGGATAATATATTTCAATAGCCCAATTAGATATCCAGGAGTCAATTTCTGGAACAACTCTGATTTCAGCATGGGAACAGACCATTTGTGAAAATAACAACCTGACAATGTTTTAATATTAACTAAAAGTCAGGGATGACAAAAGCATACTTGTCAGAAGTACAATTTAATTGTCTCAGATTTCAGTTGCACTCACGTCACTGTAGTTCACTCGGTTCTGTTTGGCCAGCAGGATTTCTGGGGTGTCAGGCATGACATGAATCGTGGTCTTGTCTTTGTTCCACGCTTCAGTGTACAAACGCTAAAAAAGAAATCAGGAAGAGATTGATAGGGCATTCCAAACCAGGTTAATATCCCAATAAACATGGAAAACACATTCATTAAAATGATAGGAACCTGGTCTAGGGGAAATATTCCCTTCCCATGGCAGGAGGTTGGAACAAAATGATCTTTAATGTCCCTTCTAACCCAACCCATTTTATGCCAATATAAAATGGATATACAGTTATTTGTTGATATGGTAAAAGTAACATCAACAAAAGGAGAATTTATCTGAGGGAGTTTAAAAACATTAAGGAAACTGCCACATTGCTTCGGAATAATGAACAATAATTAGTGCTCGATGCACACACAGGCCAAGGAAAATATTTAAATGTAAAATGGAGAATATTACACAAATTTGAATCTTCCTCACCTGATTTTAGAGTTTTGAGTGAAATAACAAGAGGTAACAGATTGAAAATGAATCATGCCTGAACTGCAGCATTGCTGGTGCTCAGTTCATTCCCAGTCCTGTCTCCAGGGCTGAGATCTCTGATGTGTCACCCAGAGGGATCAGGACTCACCTTGTTCATGGTGTCTGCGTTCTGCTTGGCCAACACCATCTCCAGGGAATCCGTGACACTGGTGAACTTGATGGTGTCCGGACGCTGGCGGTAAATCTTATCACTCAGGATCTCCCCTGCTCTCTTGGCTTTCTCAACTTCCAAGGAACCAATTGGGACCCAGCCAATGCCCCGCAGCCATTCCAGGTCAGACTTGTAGCAGTTCTGTTACAATAAAAAAAATTACACAAGTTATTTTAATAATATAATCATCATAATGGATGTTACACAGTGCATCTTTCCAAATGGAAAATACCTTCCTACCAGCTCTTCATTCAAACAAATTCAAAGCTGTAAAGAAGACTGTAGAAAAAATGACAACATTTCCACTACATTAAGGGTGAAACCATTATCCAACTTCCACAGAAGGGTAAATGATAGATAGTCCAAATCTTGCAATTACAAGATTTCATTTAAATATCGGTCAGTTAATATAACCTCTAGGAGATTTGAGGATCAATTAACAATGAAAATTAAAAATAAATCTCAAAATGTTGGCTCTACCACATCATAACAAGATGGCCTGAAGCCAATGCCCCGCAGCCATTCCAGGTCAGACTTGTAGCAGTTCTGTTACAAAAAATAGAAAAAAAAATCACCCACACGGGTTATTCTATCAATAATAATAACAATAGTAATAATGCAACTTACATGGTGAATATTTCGCCAATAAGTAATCTCACTATCAAATTAACAGTTAATTTAAATAAATACAAAGCACAAGATAAAATATACAAAAAACAAGTGCATTTCCACTACATTAAGGGTGAAACCATTATCCAACTTCCACAGAATGGTAAATGATAGATAGCAATTCTGGAGTTAGGGGATTTCACTGAAGCATCAATTAGTTAACACATCCTGTTGGAGAGCTCAGTTTCAATCAGCCACAAAATTTAAAAATAAACCTCAAAATGTTGGTTCTATCACATCAGAACAAGATGACCTGGTACAATTATGTACAATAAACTCATTCCTCAGCAAAAATCAAATGCCAGAGAACTCACATCACTCTGAAGGTCGTAGGCTTGCTTGGCGTGGATCACGTCATTCTGGTCGGGCAGACAGATCCACTGGTGCAGGTAGTGCCGGTAGTCAACGTCACTGACCAACCCTTGGCACTTCTTGGCCAACACAATTCCCAGCATGTCCACGGGGCTGCTGAACCTTGTCTTGGACTTCTCAAAGTCCTTCTTGTACTCCCTGTCACTCTGGATCTTGGCCACGTGCATCGACCACATCATCTTGGGGTCATCCTCGATGTTCCTGGCTCCAATGTGGTGGCCCAGCTGCTTCCGATACCCTTCCTTGTACTTATACTGAAACACAAACCAAGATATTACATTTCTCTATCACCCATAAATGTCAGTTACTCATATTAAATATTTCTAACAATAACCTTTCCCAACTTATCTATAACCTACCATTAAAAAAAACCCAAACAGTCAAATTCTCATGCTAATAATACTAGGACTAAAGTTTTTTGCTGTTTAAGTTAGAACCCTAAACAGAAATTTTTTATCATTTCCCTTTTTGAAGAAATGTGCTTTACTAATATTAGTGAGAAATAATCCTGGTCTTACTAAATGCATTTAATCCTTATTTCATATAATGATACATATTCTGTAAATACTTATCCTCACATAGAGAGTTATGAGCTATACAGACATCATGAAAGCATTATATTGTTCTTATAATTATTAACATTTATTTTTTTAAACATACGTGATAATTTACTTGCAAAAATCTATTACTTAAGGTCACAGTTTAACTGCAGTGCCTTTACAGGACCCAGCTGATAATTTTCAGGTTGCAAAGGAGAGATGTCAACATAGAAAGAAACAGAAAGTTAGATTCTTACATCACTGGCAATTTGTCTGGATGCTTTGGCTGCTTGGATGGGGATGGCATCAGCTCTCAAATCATAGCCTTTCTTCTTTGAATCTTCCATGGCCTGTCTGTATTGTTTCTAGATAAAGAATTAAACAATAGGACTCATGTAAGTTCCATATGGTACAGTTTATGCAAAACAAATTGCTTGGAAGCCGACCTAATAATTGTGTTTAGATTTATTACCCCCAGTTTTATCTACCTTTAACTCAAAATCTCAGATCAGTAGCTGATACAAATTCATATCAAAGGAAGATCTTTGCTAAATACATTTGTTAATTAATTTTTATTTTACTGCTTTAAGTAATGTAACATTGACTTCAATTTAGAGCTAAACTTTTCTTCTATACAAACGAAGTAAAACTTTTTTTTAAAACCACTGTTGTGGCTTACTGACGTGAACCTGTTTGCCCAAAATAATGTTGAACACTGGCATCACACCTTTTCAGAATTATGCCAGTAATTACCTTTCTGGTATTAATTTTTGCTTTCCCAACATTAGGCACACTGGCAGAAATGACTCTCCAAAAATTCAGTGGAAACACACAACTTGTGTGGAATATATGGAATTTCTTCTCACCAGTGCTCACTGTTCCATGTAGGCACTACTACAAATATACAAACAATGCTTTTGAAGTCAAAATTTTTTTGATAAATATGGGTGTTACTTTAGGAAACTGAAAGTGCCATCTCTAGAAGGTTTCCCAGAACATTCCTGATCCCGCCATGACACAGAGCAGTTACATTTGGAGAGCTCCCACACTCACCAGACTGTAGTTTTTCTTGTTCTCCCTTGCCAGGGTGATTTCAGGCGTGTCAGGCATGATGTGGATTTGTGTCTTGTCTTTATCCCAGGCCTCAGTGTACAAACGCTGCAGGAGAAACACAGCAGAGTATGTGGAGACATTCACAATTGATAATTGTGACAAATTAACTTAGTAATTCTCTACAAAGATATTATTAAATCAGCTCTTGATGGAAACAAGTTTCCCGTTGATTACCAGAAATGGAACTTACATTTTTACAGCCTTACAGTGGTGAAATCTCACAGCACAGGCACAGGTCTGTGACCCCAGCCCTGTCTCAGGAGTTTTGGCAGAGACCGTTAATGAGTTACCTGATCAAATCCAGACTCACCTTGTTCATGGTGTCTGCGTTCTGCTTGGCCAACACCATTGGGAGAGAATCTGGGATGCTGGTGAACTTGATGGTGTCTGGATGCTGGCGGTAAATTTTGTCACTCAGGATCTCCCCTGCCTTCTTGGCCTTCTCAACTTCCAAGGAACCAATTGGGACCCAGCCAATGCCCCGCAGCCATTCCAGGTCAGATTTGTAGCAGTTCTGTTACAAAACACAAAGGCAGCAGTTAAAAATTTCTCCTTTATACATTAACCAGCATTTAAATATATTCAAATTCCCTATTATGAAGGATGATAGGGAGCTAATTCTGCTATTTGGCAGTACATAAACCTTCATAAATCTCTTACATTCAGATTCCTTCACTCCTCAAATTATAATGGCCTTGCTTGGAACAGGGAAAAAAAACCAAAACATGAAAAAATACAATGTGAGAGCAACTACACCAGTTTATATTCCAAGGAAATTACAAACATTTCAGTATTCTAGAGCTTATCAGCAAGTACTCACATCACTCTGGAGGTCATACACTGTCTTGGCATGGACAACATCATTCTGGTCTGGCAGACAAGTCCATTCATGGAGGTAATGACGGTAGTCGACGTCACTGACCAGCTCCTGGCATTTCTTGGCCAACACCACTCCCAGCATGTCCACGGGGCTGCTGAAGCTGGTCTTGGACTTCTCAAAGGCTTTCTTGTACTCCCTGTCACTCTGGATCTTGGCCACGTGCATTGACCACATCATCTTGGGGTCATCCTCAATGTTCCTGGCTCCAATGTGGTGGCCCAGCTGTTTGCGATACCCTTCCTTGTACTTGTACTATGGACAAAAAAAAATGTTCAATCAGTGTCAGTTTAGGGCTTTTTATGTGGCCAAGACCCCTGCAACACCACCTCCACAAAACACAGGGCTGGAGCCACAGAGATTTTAAAGTGAGAAAAGACTCAGCCCCAGCGTGTGCCACGAGGGCTGCTGGGCACTCACATCACTGGCGATGTCCCGGGAAGCTTTGGCAGACTTGATGGGAATGGCATCTGCCCGCATGTCGTAGCCCTTCTTCTTCTCCTCCTCCATCGCCTGCTTGTACAGTTTCTGCAACAGACACCACCAGGCCCTCAGACAACGCTGCTGCCTGCACACAGCAGCAGTGCCCAGGGACACACACTGCACCCTCAGCAGCCACCCACCTCGCTGAAGTTCACTTTGTTCTGCTGGGCCAGCAGGATCCCAGGGGTGTCTGGCATGATGTGAATGCTGGTTTTGTCCTTCTCCCAGGCTGAGATGTACGAGCGCTGCAAAAGGAGGACAAGAAGAAACAAAAACACTTGAGTTTGTCAAGTGACAATGAAACTCAATGAAAAACTCAGGTTCACAAACCAAAGCAAGGAGCCTGTACTTTGCACTAACCCAGTAACATCTTTGCTTTCCCAAAGTTTTCTAATGTTTCACCATTTTTTTTTCAACATTGTACCTCATTACAGCTCCAAAAGAGTGTTTTATCTCAAACAAGGAACACAAATCCCTGAGGCAAGAGGATGCAGTATCCCCCTTGAAGAACCCAGGCCATGAAAGGCCATAGAACAACATCTAGGGACAGAAGGTGCTCATTTCCTTCAGCAGTGATGCAAACACAAAGAAATCTCACTTGATCCATGATTTTGGAGTTGTGCTTTGCCAACACCATGGGCATCGAGTCAGGAAGGCTGGCCCTTCCTTGTACTTGTACTGCAGGAAAAAACAGCATGCACTGAGTATTATTTTATGCTTTTTCACATTCCTAGCTACGCCTGTGGTATCACCTCCAGACAATTTATTACCTGAAGCTACAGAGTTTACAGTGTGAAAGGGTTCAGCTGATGACCTACAGTGTACAGCTAGAAAACAATCCACACAATATCCTTTTGACAAAACTCACATTTTCCAAGACTCTCCCTGGTCTACATATTAAGACGTACTGGTCAGTAACTGAGAGGAAGGAAAGTCTCTAAATAATGAAAGCTATACCAAAGACGTGATGTTCATAAATACTCACTACACCGAGAATCATTTCTTCAAGCACAATGGCCAAATCAACTCGAACTAGTGAGGGAATAAAATGTAACTACACAGAGAGTTACGGGGAAGATTAAATAAAGACAGCAAACATATATAGGAATGCAATTTTGTATTAATACCTAAGAATAACAAAAAACTGTGCTATTTTATACAGCTTTACTTTTTACACTCAGTGTGTGCACAAGGAGATGCACTCACAAGCCCAGGAGGAACCCTGCTTTGGGCTATGACCATCACCCAGCTCCCAGCTACTCTTCCACATCACCTAGGCCTTCCCTTGCAACACTGCACACTCACAACTTGCACGGACAGCTACAGGTGGACAGTGTGAACAAAAACTTTGATGGACAACTGAAGGACACTGACAGGTAACGGATTTGTTGCCTCCATTTGGCTCAGTTGCAAAGCCAGGGTACAACTGCCAGCACAAGACACCCATGTGACAATGTATGCCACGAGGGCTGCTGTGCACTCACATC